TTTATGCTTGATAAATACTACATAAATAAACATAAATTACTCTAAGACGTAAAGTAGTAATTGTAAATAATTGAATTTCTGTCCAAATAAAATACGTCTGGAAGTTGCTGTCTGTCTCATTCATAATAGGCTGCCAGCTACATTCGTACATTAAAGTGTACGAAGAATAATTTAAAATCTTTTAGGAACTGTCATCAAAAGTTCCTGATAGAGTAATTATTATAAATTGTAGAAAATCTCTGATTCTCAAGAGACAATATAATTCATTCTATTATGGATAACATACTAAATTACATTTTTAAAATATTAATTAGCATAAACAAACTACTTCACTTTTAGTAATTATTTTTTAATGAAGAGTCCAATTTGTAAAGAAAACAACTGAAGAAATAATTTAAGAGTTGTTGCCGAAAAATTAAGCTACTTAAAGAAAATGTCCATTTTATCATTTCATCATTTTTACAATTTTCCTTTCATACTACCCTTTCTAGGTGAAAAGATGATATCGCTTTTAAAGGAAAAAGGAAAAATAGAAAAAGAAATTATTGTGCGCCTGCTGAAATTGGTCTACCAGTGCTTTAAAGAACTAGCCTACTGTATGCGGAATTAACTGAACGAACGAAATGGAAAACCGTAAAAGTGTACTTAATTTAGGCTAATCTTTTAACGTATACTATTCTTAAAGCATCCATAATAAACGCTTCAATACAGCCCACTAATTGACCGGATATACGTTGTTTTTCACGGGTGCGCGTTTGTAGGCGTCTAGAAGCGTCTTCTCCTCAGCTTCCTTTTAATGACAGGTGGTGACGGCGTCAGTACATGTACTCGGTTGTTAAACCCTATTCTTGTTATACTCTGACTGACAACGTTTTTCTCGCATGTTTTACAGTATAAAAGAAACTATTAAGTATACTTCCTACTTGTTCCCAATCATTTATTAAACAATACAAATTCAATGCAAAAGCATTTACGATCTTTAATTAAAAGCAAATATATTTGTGTGAGGAAATGTACCCACAAAGCTGGAGTATTAAATATCAGATTAATCATAAGAGAATTGTATGATTTCTGGTCCGTGTTAAAGGGAATATACATAATTAATATACGGGTAATAAGCGTAAAGTTTTTCATTTACATAGTTTCTATTTCTCTATGTTCCAGGTTTTACTTGTATAGATCTATAATTAAATATTATGTATTTCATAGTCCGATGCTTTGTATTCTCTCTCACACACTCTCTCTCTCACTCTCTTTCTCTCTCTCTCTCTTTCTTTCTCTTCTTAAATATTGACAAGAAATTGACAGTTTCTCCAATATTTATCTTATTATTTTATACTTTGCAAAAATTTTAACTTTTTTTGTTGACTAAGCAAAGTGTAGCATTTTCAAATACATTAAAGAAGGAATGCGAAAGGGGTTGATATGAAAATTACTGACGACAAGAGAATAATAATCCTTTTTCACCTAGGGAAAATCTCTAAAGATTAAGCAACAGGATTTTCTTCTAAGGGTGATGAAATAAGAATTATATCTATTCAAAAAACCTATTTGCTAATTACCAAAAAAAGAAATATCTCTATATTCCTTTCTCCTTTTCTCTCTCTCTCTTTCTCTCTCTTTCCCTCTTTCTCTCTCTTTCCCTCTCTCTCTCTCTCTCTCTCTCACTCTCTCTCTCTCTCACTCACTCTCTCTATCTTTCTTTTCATAAAAACTTTTATGAATATTAGAAGGCGACCCTTTTCCTTTTGAAAATCACCGTTTCTCAGTCTTTTTATCTTTATTTATATATTCGACAGTAATGAGAGTTACGTTAATTTGGAAATGTTTGATCGTTAAGCGTCTAAAATTCGTTAGCTTTTTTATGAGGATACTCAGAAATAAAGCGTTTTACTTAGCAGATCTTAACTTACCAACTTCTCCAAATTGAAATCCAACAGAATAGTTCAATGAAGAGCACAACATGACCGCCAGGAAAAGAATTACATAAGTATGAGAATACATGATGAAGCTGAAACTTTTCGAAGTGGCCGAAGTGCAGGAAAGCCTCGCTCTTACCTGCTGCCCTCTGTGAGCGTCTCATGACGTCACCTTCTCTCTGTCACTTGAAAAATGAAAAAAGAGCCTTACAAGTTACACAATCTTATCTTTGGCTGGACAAGTATTATCTAGTGTCCAAGTATCATAATTCTGTTCGTTTTAGACACATTATTAAGTTCCGCGAAGCGTCTTTCCTAGAAAATAAGCTATCTACATTTCAGCTAGAATCTTATTTCATCCCGAATAATTAATACCTCAAAAATAATTCTTCAAATATCATCCAAAAATTCAACCCTAAGTGCCCAAATGCTCATATAATAAATGCCGCTAGATGTCGCTTTTAAAAAAATATATTTGAGCGCAAATATCAAACAAGGAAATATGATACATCGAAATAACGATGGCCTAAATTGCCCTCCCAAACACTCCCAACCATTTCGTTAATTTTAGCTAGCAAATGTTCCTTTCTACTGTCTGTTAAGGAGGCCAAAAAAAAAAGCAAAATTTTTTCACTGTGTTTATGATGTTATTATGATAATATATTTAAAAATAAAAGACTATTTATACGAAAACACAAGTTTTCGGGAATAATTCACTTTCACGAATGATTCGCGATACCTCATTGAGAAAACCTTATGAAACGTATCAATATTACGAAATGATATAGGCTAATAGAAAAAGTAATACCGCATAAATCCCTTATTCATTCATATATTATAAAAAAGAAAAGCGTAATATTCTATAAATAATTCATGAAACACTTTATTTTGTTTACTAATTTATTAATAAAATACTGTATTTATAACTTCAACTTTTCCGACATTTAGTCAATTTTCAGATCAAATATTTACTTAGAGCAGTCCGTACTTTAACGGTAAATATTATCAAAGCAGAAAGCTCCTTTCAAAAACTTCATCAAAGTTACGTAATAATACAATTTATTCAAATTAACTATAAAATACTTTTATTAAATTGAAGCGAAAAATGAGCTTTATAAATTACAAAGCAAAATAGTATATGATGTTCAATTTAATGAAATATAATATAAATAATATTATAATTCAATATTATAATTATATAATAAGATATAATATAAAAGTATATTTTACTTATTCGTAAATGGTCGAGTTTGGTGTAATTTTCCAGAAATTCTTTACAGTAAAAGAGATAAAAAATAAGATGAGATGGGTTGCGCTTTTCTTGTCAGATTTTTCATCTAGAAGATGTTGTTTACAAGCATTAAATGTCGTAACAGATTTTCAGTTCAATTTTCTGTCTCTTAACTAAACGTAAATATACTATTTATAAAGTGCAGACAAGAATATTTTATCTTTTCGTCACCAATAATCAATCAATGATTACAAATGACAAAAAGGGAAGATTGTTTTTGACAACCTCTGATCCCTGACACTTTTGTCTAGGACTCAAAATGTAGAAAACAATCACATAGGCTTTCCGGGAACAAAATTTCAAAGGAACTAAATGATTATTTTAGTAAAAACTCCATTTTCTTTCTGTGAGGCCTGAGATGCTTAAACGGTTAAAGGTTATCTATTGAAGATAATGTCTCTATATTTCTTATTAGCTCTGCTAAATCGTAAACTATTTCGATGTTATTAGTTTTCCAAAGATATTTACTAAAATCTCTTGGGTTCAATCTTTCGGTTTTAATTGATATCTTCTCAGCATAATCAGTTAAACCACAGTCGTTATCCGGTTGAAAGGATATTGAAAGGTTGAATTATATAAGTTTCAACATCTTTAATTACAACCTTTCGTGAGCAAAATGTACCTTATCTCGGGAAATTCCGACTATTTTAGCTCCTCTCTCGACCTTCATAAACAGTTCAAAGTGGATCTTTGTTACTCTTTTTTATAAGTATTAGCTTTTTATGATGTCTTTGAATCTTCCTCTTTGATATTGGTATATCTTTAGGCTTCCTTTTATCTTAGTACTGTTATTGTTTCCCTTTTTATTCTGTTTGTCTTATCATTTGCATACTCTTTTTAGAACTTTCGTTTGTGAAAAATCTAACGTTTTTCACATTACATTCTTTCATTGTTTAATAAAAAGATATCTAAGCTATTCAAATGTGAAATTAATTCCTGATCAGCTCCATCTACCTTTTATTAGAATTTTATCATAATAAACGATAGGAAAGCATACTTGTTAACTTCCGTTAGATATAGTTACTATTAAATACACCTAGCCTCAATTTAAGGTTTTACAGAATGATAGTAGAAAATTAAAACCGGAAAGTGTGTCTTTTAAAGTGGAAATATAAAAAGACTGACCCTGTTTTCAACTATTTATTACAATTATCTATATTTTTACAACTTTAAAGATAGAAAGTTGTTTTTTTTTTTGTTAGTTTCTAGTAAATAACACTTGGCAGAATTATTCAAATTCTCACTAATATATTCATTTTGTTTGTACTTGTGTAACATTTAATTTACTAAATTATGGATAGACGTTTTTATTTACTTAATAATGATCAGTCAATAGATTAATGGTGTTCATTTTGTACCTATTACATATTCATAGTGAAAAAAGTATCTACATTTATAAATAGTATATTATTAACTATACATAAAAAATGTATTCTTTAGATAAATTCTGATAAATAGATTTATTAATATCTAATCAATACGTGAATTTAGTTTCTATTAAGCAAACTGCAAAAAAAATACTTTGGTATAAATATACAGTATATAAAACTATATGTGTTATATACAGCAATGTATATACAGTATAAGAGAAGACGATATTATATTGATAATTAAGCTCTATTATAACTATAACTGAGTATCAACTGTGAAGGGATTATACAATAAAGGAATTAGCACCTTATGAAAGAAATATTCTCGATTTATACAACGTACGTCTGATTAAAATCGATAAAGAGCGTTTAAATAGGGCTATGGTCGCGTATTGATTAAGGAAGAATCGATGCAGAGTTGCAGTTTCGCAGAACTAGTGTGTGGCTGCGCTGCAGCATGCTGCTTCGTTTATATTTTGTATTTATAACCGTTTTTGCTGGTTTGTTGATGATAAAATTATAATTCTAATATTAAATATAATATGATTTATTAATATTAAATGCAGATCTTAATATACCTAATTGTCATAAATGGTATTATAGCAAGCCTGCTTGTAGTAATCATCCTGACGGATATAGGTAAATTATTTTGTTTTCTGCATAATGTGGTTCGTAAATTATTAAGATATCTTTTAGGTGTACTTGCGGTCCAGGATTTTTATGGAATACTCATATATGCGTTGCAGAGGGTCTAAATTCTGCGTTTGAATTCCATCCAACGAACGACAGCAAATTCGTCTTATTAAATGACAAGCAGTTTCCTGATTTAAGAGCTTTCACTCTTTCTTTATGGCTAAAACCGAAATCAGGAACTGTGTTATCATATAGTTCAAACCAAAAACCCAACCTCTTGACAATAAGCATCAGTGAAGCTAATCATCTTAATCTTAAACTAGATTCTAGTCTTTTCCAGATAAGGAGAAGTTACATTCCTAGTCAGATATGGTCACATCTAGTCTGGACTTGGGAAGGGCGAAATAAACACAAGGTATACGTCAATGGAAACCGTATAGAAATTAAAGGACATGGAAAAGACTCAAGCCGTTCCGAAATACCCGGAAATGGGAGGCTTGTTCTCGGTCAACAGAGGGCCACAAATGGTGCTAGAGCTGATGAAGAGCAATGGGTTAGAGAAAAAGAATTTGTAGGGCATGTTGCTTTTTTAAATATTTGGAAAAAAGTTCTCACTTTAGAAGAAATTGTTCAAATAAAAGAAGATTGCAAATTAAACTGGTGCGGGGATGGAATAGAATGGGCAGATCTAAGATCTGGAACGAGAGGTCCTCTTCGTATGAGATGGCCGTCAGATGTTCCGTTTTCAAACGACATCTGTTTTAGCGGTAAAGAGCAAGCAGATTCGTGTGAAAAATTTTGTACCGTTACCGAAGGTGCCCAATGCAATGCCGAAATAGCAGAAAATATTGAATGGCCTAGATCTAAAGCAAATTTAACATTAGTAATGCCTTGTCCAGGGTTAAGTTATCCTCTAGATTATACAAATAATAGTTATCCAGAACAAGCTAATTCAACCAGAGCATGCGGCGTAGAGGGAACCTGGCAAAGCCCTAATGTATCAGCTTGTCTTTCAGGAGCAGTCAGTTTATTCTTTAAAAACGTCTCCAACCCAACTATAACCAGTAATAAGGAGGATTTGCCCATCAAACTATTACACGAAATTCATGACCTTATTGATGCTAGATCTTATTCTAATCCTCTAGATATATCAACGTTAGTAGAATCATTTGGAAAAATAGTAGAGTTGCAAAGTAAATCCGTTTATGATCCCACCTACACTAAACATATTAGAAGAAAAGACTCATCGTATCCAAAGTGGGATCAAACAATAGAATTTTTTGAATTGTCTGTAGAAATAATCAACAAATTAACTGGAGATCGAAACAGCGAAGGCTGGCAAGCGGCTCAACCAATGGGAATCGAAGGGGACTACTTGGCGAACACTCTGGAATCATTAGTTCAGCTAGCTGTAGAATCGTTACTTTTTGAGAGGAGGGGAGATGCAAGTAGAAGAAAACTCAGCGTTAAATCAGACACTTTCACAATAGAATCAAACGTATTAAAAAGGTCATCGGACTTCGAATATTCAGAATTGAAAGACATCTTATCATGGAATCTAATAGAAAATGAAGGCACTGTAAGATTGAGTGCCAATTACAGCGATTCTGAAAATTTGATCGTTACATTGGTGAAAGCTTCATTTGGAAATATCTTACCCACTCAACGAGAAAATAAAAAGATGGACAAAATTAATTCGGCAGTATTTGCCGCGTTTGCTCACCGTAAAAACAAACGATTAAACTCTCCGATTACAATCGATTTACATCTGAAGTACCTGAACAATTTCAATATTTCAGAACAAAAATGCGTTAGATTAATGCATGGTCCATTTTGGCATTGGACAGGAGCAAACTGTTCATTAAATTCCAAGAGATCTTCAGTAAATTATGCACATTGTGTTTGTTCAACATCGGGCTGGTTTGCTGTAACAACTCATATGTTTAACGATAATTGGGTAAGGGAGGAGAAGCCCTTAGAGTTGCTTTTACTCCCGTCGTACATTGGCTGTGCAGTATCCACGACACTCTGTATTCTAGCTTGCTTTCTGCACCGTTATGTTAAAACAGCCTCTCAAACCGCTCTAATTCACAAGAATTTAGCAATTTCAATAGCATTCAGCCAGTTAACCCTCATGTTTAGTATTGACAAACTAAAGTACGACACAATTTGCAAGGCTTCCACCGTTTTACTTCATTATTTTTTTATATCGTCGTTTGCTTGGCTAATGAATGAAGCATTTAATTTATACACAGTTATTACATATGCGGCCCATTCACACTCAGAATCCTCTGCTGAATCGAGCTCACAGTGGCGCTACTATATTCTTGGTTGGTTACTTCCGGCCGCTCTGGTTGGCGCCTTTATTGGTACCTATAATAAAGATTATTACTCGTTAGAAATGTGTTTTGTGGCTTGGAAGCATAAATGGCTTTGGATAGGACCAGCAACAGCTATGTTAGCAATTACTGTTCTAGTTCTTATTTTTACAGCTAAAGAGCAACACGAGAGCTCTTACAGTAAGAATGAAAAGACGAATAAAAGTATATTTAATCATTCAAAGGCATTATGGAGTCAAGTAATTTTGCTAACCATGTCATGGTCATTTGCTTTTATATCACTCAGAATGGTTGGGGCTATCGTGAAATGGCTATACGCACTTTTCAACTGTCTTCAAGGAGCTTTCTTTTTTATATTTTTCTCGGTTTTACACGACGAAGTTAGAACTTTCCTTATCGCTAAGAAGAAACAACATAATCTTTCAAAGCATGGTTACGATTATTCACCAACCCAAACGGACTCGGATTTTTGTCAGCCTCCGGTTGCATTGATGGATGTTGGAGTTCCATCTGTCAGCTCCCCGACAGACTTTCAATCGACAGACGATGACGAAAGAGAAGGTTATTCAACCTTATCAAGACGTAAAAATATGTCGAAAAGTAGTGAATCTGAATGCGAAATTATGGTTACTAGTGTCTAAGACTATAATTTACTCTTTCCACTTAATCTTTTTCATTTCGTCTGTTCTTACCTCACATTCCTAAATCTTTTTTATATTTAAGTTTTTTTATTAAAAAAAAATGTCTTAAGTTAAATTTTTTTTAATGAAATATAATTTATCTAAACAGGCACACCCTAAAATCTTTGACCAAAGACGAACTGTTTACATAGAAAGGAGTGATAATTACACATTTTTTATATAATGTTATATAAAATAATTCATACGCACTTAAAACAGTGTAATATAACAACTGAAAACAAGCATTTTATTACAAAGATCAAAGTTTTAATTAAGGCTTTATACCAAATTGTATGGGCGGAAGCAAACTTATCGTCCTCTTAGAAACTAAATAACAATATACATGAAAGATTTTACAGAAGGATTGACGCTCTGAAATGCAAAGGACAATTACTCCTTTTTGTTCTTTTTTAAGAGGTTTGAAGGTGAAGAGGAATCTGTAAACTGTATAAATAATAGGAAGGATTCTTTTACTTAATAATTTTTTACCCTACTATAAAAAGTTAAGATTTCTGAGCATTTTCATTCTCTTCCTGAAGTTAACTGAAGTGTCCGAAAGAATATATCTGGTTATATATTAATATCCTAATCGTCAGGACGATGTCGTTCTTTTTGGATCCGGAAAAAATATCCTTATTAATCAAGCAGCAAAAGGCTCTTTATTCGAATCCAAACTACACTGGCCCAATTCACCCATTCGAATTTCCTAAAAGACCTTACTGGGAAAACTGTATCAATATTTTTCAAATGGTTTTCATTGTTGTTACGAACAGTTTTTTCATTGCTTTGGTAATGCTTTCTCCAAATCTACGAAAAATACCTTATGGTATAATGACATCGATGGCAGTTGGAGATATGACTGTTGGAATAATTACTCTTCCAACAGCTTTCATTGCTGAGAATCTAGTAGTCAATTTCACGTACAAAACTTGCTTGATCAATTATGGTGCGACGATTGCTTGTCCGTTAATTTCCGTTTTGCACTTCATCGTAAGTCTAACTTTAACGTATTGCTTTGATGTAAAAATATTACTTCTTAAGCTTTCTTATTTTAAGAATCCTAAAGATTAACTTTTTCTTTTTCATTTAGATAATCGCGGCTGAAAAATTCATTACTATTCAATATCCGCTTAGATATCAACAGATTGTTACAAAGAAGGCTGCGATAATCTCGTGTTTTATCGTATGGCTTATATCATTGTTGGTAGGATTCCTTCCACCAATTATTCTTATCATTATTAATAAACCATCATACGAATGGTTTAATTATTGTTCCCCACTCTTTATTTTCCCTGATGGTTACATGTTCTCTTCAGTAATCGTCTTCTTGATACCAACTATGATAACTGTTTCTGTTTTGTATGCAAAAATTATTTATATTGCCAGAAAGCAGAGTAATAAAGTTTCCGCAGAGCAAACTAAGCAAGCTTCTCAATCACAAAGAGCAAGGATTATTAGGGGTATGGCAATTATTTTATTTGTCTTATTATATTTTTTAGCATCGTGGCTACCTCTTGGGGTTTTACTGTTAATACCCAACCTAGACATTTCCCAAGAAGTATGGGGAATAATTAAGATGATAGCTTTCAGTAAAGCGTGGATTGATCCTATTGTCTTTGGAATCGGTAGCAAGGAAATTCGTAATGCTGTCATGCGGCTCATTTGTGGAAGAAAGGTAGCCGATGATTATTAATATTCTTTACGTTGTTTTTATCAACTATCTAAGCTTATACGTTTATATATATATATATATATAGATCTGTTTATGTTGTTCGACGGTCTAAAACAGCACAAAACTGTTAGATTAGATGAATAAACAATGATGTTTTTTCTTGCCCTTTAAATAGTTATGGTTTTATTCGTCATTCCTAAAATTATATAAAAAAATTAAGCGTTTTTTTTTACATATATAAAAGCGTAGATGATTGATTATTATTAGTATTGGAAGATGTCTCTCGACGCCTCTTAACAATATTCATTAATTGCGCAGCTTGTTAAGTGCAAAACATTTTCCTTTCATATGATTTATCCACCGTACAAGACGGTGTCTCACGACTAAACTCTTTTGCCTATTCATTCTTAAATCATTTTTCTTTTCTTGCATCGGCACAATACCTTTTCAATAACTTTATTGAAATATCCAAGACAAGAAAATTGCTTTGGTTTAATTTTTAGGATAAAAAATATTTTTCATTTTCACTTTTCCAGTCTCTGGCAAATCTTATAGAGGGAGTGATCGCTATTTTCCTTGAAAATCAGGTATCAACCTGATTACAGACAACAGAAATGGAGTTAGAGTAATTCTGTCCATATTATTACATTTACAGCAGTGTATAGTTGCAACGATCGTTGGCATGGAGCCAGGGGTTTATCGATAATAAACTAGAGTGGGAGTGAAGAGTTGGACATAAAGAAAAATATGAATAATATTCTTGATATTAATTAGACGATGTCTCTTGTTACTTTCCGCCAAAGGTAAAAGTTCTTTTTTTTTCACGAAGTGGAAAAAACACAACACCTTACGCTAATCTTAACAAACAGGCAACAAAGGTAAAACAAAAACAACTATAAATGTAGTTAACTATTTAAGAACAGAGACAATCTAACGCTAAATGTACTCAACATCTCTTTTTTCAATCTTTTGAGACCATACTCAAAGTATGAACAATTGCGCAATTAGGCCTATTTGTAGTTAGGAGTACAAAGAAGGTTCAATGTTCATTTATAATTAGAAAGAAGAGTCGTTTAATGTTTACGAATCTTTTTTTTTTGTACAGGCACAAAAGAATTAAAAGGAGGAAACTATTTCATTCTCATCCTCTTATAACAGCAGCTCTGAACAAATTCACTGTACCAACTTCCTACAATCGAACGCTACATTATAGGTGGCACCATAATACAATCTTTATTTGTTCTTTCTCTCTTTTCAAAGATTTAAAGAATTGATTTATAAATTACTACATATCCATGTCCCTAATTATTTGAATTTCGAAAAAAGCCTATATATAGGTCTAATTATTTTAATTAGTGTTGTTTTCTTTTCTTTTTTGGCTTACTATTTTGCAGAGGGCGCCAACGATCGAGAATGTTCGTAAATATTCGTAAAAAGATTTTATTGAATTTAACAAAACAATTAAAAGTGATAAATAATAATTAGTAAAGAGTATTTTAAAAATTTCCATCGACATTTAAGTGTGACGAATATTGGGTTGATATACAGTCCTTGGGCACGTTTTGCTTCTCTTTTCTCTTCTCAAACTTTTTTTGGGCGGCACTTCCCTCTTTAAATCGATACCTTCTTCTTAATAGACTTCCATTATCGAACATATCTTCGAATTGTGGATCTATTGACCAGGGATGTCCTTTATCACCTGGGCGTCTTGCAAGTTTAACGAAACAATCGTTGAGTGTAAGATTGTGTCGAATTGATCCATGCCATCGTGTATTTCGTTTATAGAAGGGAAACTTTGTTTCAATAAACTCGATGATTTCTCGTAATGTCGCACACCTATTAGGAGTATTACTAATCGCCATGCAGATAAGAGCGATATAGCTGTATGGAGGTTTTCCAGACTCCAACGGCCTTTTTCTTACTCGACCACCTGATGTTACCTAAACAAGAGAAATAGTTTCGTGATGTAAATTTTAGGACTTCACCAATTTGAAAGTTTATCAAAAAATAGAAACACTTACATTAATAGAGTTAGAAGTTGCTGCATCAGCATCTGAAGCTGCCGAGAAAGTTGGAGAGACGCTTTGTTCAGATTGAACATTCCAAATAGGTGGCTGATAGTTAACATCCTGTGGTGTTCTTTCATTATAATTAGTCTGTAGATTCGGCGGTTGTATATGATCGAAGTTCAAGTAGGAGTATTGGGAATATGCAAGTGAGGGGGGAACGCCGTAGAAACTTGAAAGTGGATAGTGTTGCATCTTGAAGCTGGATATCGAATGTCGACGAAGCGGAGATTTAAATGCAGTTATAACGGACGGTTAACGTACTGTCAAAATGCGCAATTGTTAAATAAACGGTGACGTAATCGACAAAGCTGTTTGACACCGCCCGATCGACTCGTTCAAAGTCGTGGATAAAACGGTAATTTAGGGACTAATTGCGGTATTTAACTGATCACAGGTTAGAGAAGGAAATGTCGTTTTTGATAGAGTAGATCTACTAATAGTTTCATTCAAATTTACAAATTAGTTAAGTTTGCCTAATCCGTTTCTTTTTTTGAGTGTCAAAGAAAAAGTCTTTTGATAAAGACAGACTGCTTAATTTTAATTTTATGATCGTTTTTCTTTTAACATTCTATACTTAATCTAATAAATATATATTATTCGATTCTTTGATGAAAATGCAAATAGGAATTAATCCGCTGGCTGACTTTTAGAAATTAGACGCAGAGATAAAAACCCTCTTTCTCATTTTACAGCATCTTCTTTAATACATTCTACACTTCGTATTCCCTTTCTTCAGACTCTATTTTGTAAATTAATGTCACTTACAAATAAATATATAATAGATCTTTTACTTTTTTGAGAATTGTACGTTGATGTTTATATAATGTATAGGGAAATGGTCTGAATGAACATATACATATATGTTAGTATATATACAGTATATACTGAATATATATTTTATATAATATATTTTAGATAGGCCCGCGAAAAGCTTGATACTCTTGATACTAATTAAATGCAGGTCGGCGGAACTTACTTTGATGAAAGTTCCTATAACACTTTATTTACGTTTATTAGTCCGTAACGACCAGGCCTATCGTGTTAAACAAAAGCTTTTTTACCCAAAGGTATGATAATAAAGGCAAACGGCCTGAGTATTCCTTTCCTTATATTGATTATGGGTTCTTTCGTACAGAGGAATTTTCCCGTTCATTAAATTTCCGTCCACCAGGGGGCATAAAATAAAATAACTGAGATTAGTTTCGGGAATGGATGATAACGTATCGCAATCGTTCCGGTCGAATAATGTATCTTTGGAGCTATCGAATCCACCTATTGAATCTATCATAATTCCTGTTGTCTTTGGGTTAATTGTTCTTGTTGGTGCAATCGGTAATGTTCTGGTTCTAATCGCCGTCTTCCGACAGCCTATGAGAACAACAACAAATCTCTTTATTGTTAATTTAGCAGTCGCAGATCTTTTATTCCTTATCTTTTGTGCCCCTTTTCATGCAATCGTCTATACTCAGCATTGGTATTTTGGGGAGGTAGCCTGCAAATTGGTCCATCTTCTTCAATTTTCAGCCATGCTTGCAAGTATTTGGACTTTAGTTACTATGTCTGCTGATAGATTTTTGGCTGTTTCGTTTCCTGTGCGGACGAAACATTTGCGGAAGCCTAGAGCAGCTCTGATTAGTAGTTCGTTGGTGTGGGTCTTGGCTGTTTTTTCGTCTGTATTATGGCCTATAGTCTACACTATAAGAAAATACGGAGATATTCCCGTCTGTAGTGACGCCTTTGACAGTGATCAGAAAAGAGCTTCAACTTTTCTACTTTTGTTCGTGTTCGGTTACGCTATACCATTAGCTGTCATAGCACTTCTAAGCGCTTTACTTATACGGCAACTGTGGAAAACACCAATGGATTGTTCTCGGCGAGCAAGTACTGAAGCCAAGAAGAAAGTAACTCGCTTAATAGTCGTCGTAGTCCTCGCATTCGCCCTTTGTTGGCTGCCTTCTCACGTCTTTTGGCTTTATACAACACTTCACAAGCTTCATCAGGGTAGGGAGGCACCCAAGACCATGGCACTCTATGTTTTTAGAATGATTAGCCACGTTCTCTCCTATGCCAATTCGGCTGTCAATCCAATACTTTACGCATTTCTATCCAGACATTTCCGGATAGCTTTTAGGAGGGCGTTAAAATGTGAAAGATCGAATATATCTGAATCATATTGGATAAGCAGTGCAGCCCATCCACATTACAACATTCGCTTAGACAGAAAATCTCATGGCCAGGGAGATGATTCGAAACACTTATAACTGAAATCTCTTATAGCAAATAAACTGCTTACTCTCTATGCTTCTCTTTGTCGATTCTATGAAGGAGAACTTCATTTTCTAATAGGTTCGATAAACTCTCTGCTGTCTTTTTAATTAAAATTATAAAAAATGACTCTTTGAAGACTTCACCTGAGTATTATTACTTTTTAAATATACTTTTTACTATTAAACGATCTTCAATCCCCTCTTGTCTTTATGTTCAACATATATTAATATGTATTTCAACTAAATAGTTCTCTTTCAGGACTAAAATTGCAACTCTCCACCTAGAAATTGACGTTAAGTACAAAAGCTAACTGGAAGTGAATCGATAAAGTTGGTGAACAATAAAACCTCATTCTATTACAAAATTAATTCGAATCGTTAGGAACTTAGAATGTCATCCGAATCCGTAAAATTGTTTTTGCAATCATTCTGTTTTTATTAGTTTGTGATAAGATTTATTTATAATTTTCATTAACAAACAAACATCAAGGTAATTTATAATTATTGCATTTCTTAATTTTATTACTAGCATTATATTTAATTTTATTACCATCTTATTTGACAAGACACTTATGAAAAAATGACACTCTGATGGAACTAAATTGGGTCAATAAAATGAAAGTGTATAAGTGTATAAAAAAAACGTAATTACATAATCAAAGGCACCGAATTAAGTCCGTTCACAAAGAAAAGTTACTTATAAAGGATAAAGAAAACACGGAAAATTTGGACATTAATTAGACTATATACTACTAAAAGCAGCCCAGCTAAAGTTACGTCCATTTTGTTTTCTGGAAACATTTTTTAGCATAATTAAGCGGAAATAAACGGAGTATTGTAACTTATGGAATAAACATGTAGGGAGGGGTGGAAAACTCGCAACCGACTTTTAACAAGATATTTATTTCGTATAAATTGCTTTCAGAGTCGATAAAAACCTCTAGAAGAGAGGCCGATATAGAAACGCTTTAGTCGAAGTTGTTCAAATAGTGTCACCCACTTCTCTCATCTAACACCTGATTAAATAAATTAATTGACAAAGTTATTTAAATTTAGAACAAATCATACCAGGAAACTAATCTCACTAAGTTGATTTTATATAAATAATAAATGGACTGTACATTCCTTTAAATAGCCTGAAATACCCTGGTTACTTGTGGGCTACGAAAAATAATTAGTATAGAACGTAAATCATTGCCAAACTTTATCTAAACTACCTTATCGATGGACATTCCAGGAGGATGAACATAAAGCGAAATTGATAGAAATGGAAAGAATTAGAAAAATTCCTTTGCCTTTTCCTTGGTGTAGGGTTCTTGTACTTTATCCTTTTATCTTATTTTAACAATAAGACATACAGTTCGCCGCTCTTTTATGCAGGAGCCTCATATATTTTTCGCTCACGTAACTCCTTATTCATAACAAGTTATTTTGATGGAGAAGACCCTAAATTTTGTATGTAATTTATTTATATCAAGATTATCAGTAACCTTGAAAGTTTATATATATTTTTCATAAAAGTCTTTGTCTTTTCCTATATAGAGACACTTTTAGTCCGTTCGGGAATAGATATCCAAAAATTAGTATTCAAAGAAATAGCCAAACTACTTGAATTTGATAAAATCCCCCCATCTTAGACCGTTCTAAGATGTAATTAGTCTCCTTCCTCCAAAACGTTTAACATATCTCTTTACTTATTAACACTATCATTTTCTAGTTTCAATAAGAAGGAAAAACAAAAATTTCAACATCTCTCTGCTTTGCATCAATTAGGTACAGCCTTATGTTTCAGACGCCACCTTACGCTACCTTCAACAATCTTTAAAAGAGAAACATTTACATCATTCATCAAGAATAAATACGATATATCGCAAATAGTATACATTCAAAATCCATTCAGTTCTTTTAAGATACTAATTCTATAGTTGTCGTTCTTAGAGAATAAACCAAAAGATGTGATTGAATTAATTATTTTAATAAATAAGGTATTATGTTGATTATTTTTTGATAACACATCAATCATTGCACGTCTTTCAACTGATGGTTGTATGTGTTTGTAAATTACATCTTCTTGTTTTTCAACTTCTACAAACTCAAATTATTGGGATCGGTGAAGGCAAATAATTAGATTGTCCAAATGTTTTCACTTATAGAACACCAATGGACGCTGTAAATTTGTTTTCCTTCTTAAACTTACTCCCTCTTATATCCAGTAGGTGGCACTTTTTTCATTTAGCTATTCTGTATAAAAAGTCTGCTTAAAATACATTAAAATCAATCTAAATATAGCATATTTTATTGCCCAAATGTTCTGGTAAGTTTCTTCATATGTAAATTTAACGTGTTTTTTAAACAAATACTATAAAAGATCTATAAATAGTAGGATAAAAAATAAAAAAATAATGACATTAAAAACTTTATTTTTGTAGAATTGTTCTAATTTAAATTTAATCGAATTATTTAGTTTTAAGCTCTTTAGAAGTTTCTTTTTAATTTTAGCTATTTATTTTAAAAATAATACAATCTCTTAGCCCACTGCCCTCCTCTTCTCCCAACGCCCCCTTACCTTTCTCTCTAGAGATAAAAAAGATTGGCGAATATTTCAATTCAGCCTAGGTATTGACAAAATATTTCATTGGTTTATTTTCAACGAGATCTTGAAGGGTTAGGTTAAAACAATATGTAATACATCAACAAAAATTCTTTACATGCAATGTATATATAATATAACTGTTAAAGAAGTAATAAAATGTAAATATGACTATTAATAGAGCGAAGCTGGCAAAGTGAATATATTGTATAAATTATTTAATCTTCAATCGTTGTTTTTCAAAGAAACACTAAAAAAATGGCTTAAAATTAATAAATTAGTTATACTAATTCTGTGCGAAATAATTGGCAGTTAATTCATTAGTGTCTATTAATAAAAAGTAAATACGGTATATTAATATATTCATTTGGCATATTAAGTTTTGAATAATTAAAAGTATTTTCTAGCTATTTTAGGAATGATAGTTTTGTTGGCGTGAGCTATATTCTATTGAAAATATAGGCATTTTTGTAGTTATGAAAAACAAATAATTTTATGGAATAACTGTGGCGTCATCTACTGTTTTATTACAGAGGTCAAAAGCTTTCCTCTTTTCAAGTAAATATATTTTAATTAAATACAAAAAGGGCGTATTTACACGCTCTGTAAAAAAGTTGTCTTTCAATGAATGAAACTCATTAATTCCCACCGGAAATTGCCTACTCTGTGACGTCAGGTCTTCTAACTTTTTCTCCAAACATTCGATAATTTTTTTACGCCAATTGGTGTTCCCTACAGAAAACGCTCAAACTAGCCAATCTTATCCATTCTCTTGATAGGTGGATGTAATTATTCTATCGCCTATAGGTCAGAGCATTCTGATAGACTGAAATAAAAATTCGAACCACGTGAATGTTCCAAATACCATTATCATACAACCTTTTGAGAGGCCTATAATAAGATTTAATTAACTGTGAGTTCTATTGAAGATATTAAAACAGAATTCTAATATTGTATTTAGTTATTTTGTAGGGAAAATGAGTATCTTTCGTATTGTATTTGATAATTGTTTTACACTAAAAAGGTTCATTTTTTCGGCGAAATGGAATTCTATATTTCAATTCTTTCATATCCTTGAAAGTTTCTAGTTGCAATTGTTTTTATAAAAACAGTTCCCCGTAGAGTAAAATATTATTCTACATTGATTCTTTACTTAAGGAATATGGGTGCCTATCTAAGTAAGCAAAAATTTGAACTAATTGACAACGTAATAGAAATTCTTTTGGAGAATCGTAAAATTGCTATTAGTTTATTATGCGCTGGAACGATAATTGGAAAGTTACTGACTGATCGGTTGGCAAATTTACCACCGGGTCCTTTAAATTTACCGTACTTAAATGCAGGATGGAGATTATTCTTTTACCCAAGAGCAGATGTTTCTCTTAGTTCGCTGAACAATGAATATAAGAGTGATATAGTATCATGTAGATTTTTTTCTTCCCCCATTATCATTGTTATTAATTCTCCTCGATTGATCAAAGAACTTTTTAAGAAGAATGCAACCACCTTTTCAGATAGAGACTCCCTGAAAAGGATGCAAGGCAGCTTAAGTGGTGAGGAATTTTCTGATGTTATTTTCTCCCTAAATTATGGAGACAAATTTCTACAAGCAAAGAAATTCATCTTAAGATCTTTTTATCAAGATAATCATGATATGTTAAGACATACATTAGACTTTCAATGCGATCAATTTATAGCTAATGTAAAGAAATTTGATGGTAGTACTCTTACTAACCTTAAGCCTATGTTATCAACTTCTTTGGCTCGTATTATCTGCTCCTTCACAATTTCTATAGATTCGTCTATAAATGACGAGGATTTAAATGAATTTCTGCGAATTACAAATGATTTTAATAATGGATTCGGAACTGTAGGCTCGTTTGTACCAAACCCTTATCCTTGGCTTTGGAGGAAAATTTTCTATAGTTCTATTGATATTAAATTTAGGAAATGTATCAGAGAGTACAGGGGTTTCCTTAGGAAATTTGTAAACATGTACGAAAAAATAGACTCTGATAGTCGTGGGACGAGCCTTTTAGCTGAACTATTGAATAACAAGACGATCGACAAAGGGAATGAATTGCTCGACACTCTTCTTATGATGACTATTGATAATCCAACTTCGATTTGCGAGGCTTTTATGTGGTTGTTTCTTTATTTAGCATCTTATCAAGATGTCCAGGAAAAGGCGAGGAAATTGATTGCGGAATTGACCAATAACACCAGAAAGATTACAATAGAAGATAGAGCAAAGTTGCCCTACTTTTCAGCCTTAATTTACGAAACATTTCGTTGTTGTAATTTACAACCATTCTCTCCTGTCCATCATGTGAAAGAAGGTCTAAAGTTTCAGGGCTACAATATACCTAAAGGATCAATAGTTCTGACGAACTATACTGCAATGAATAAAGATCCTAATGTCTTTCCAGACCCTGAAAAATTCAATCCAGAAAGATTTCTAAACGAAGATGGAAGTTTTAAGCCTGTTGACTCCTTAACTCCCTGGGGTTTTGGTCCAAGATCGTGTCCGGGAGAGAGATTATCCAAAATGGAATTGTTTCTAATAGTTGCTCGAGTACTACAGAATTTTAGATTAGCTTTTCCCGATAATTACAATCCCGATTTAACTCCAATCTTTGATTCATTTTGCGTTCCTGGACCTTTTCCAATAAGGTTTATACCGATTACAGAATAGATGTAAAGTTTGATAAATATACTGTAGGCAGTTTTGTACATATTCAGAAAATATACTTGATAAACAACATTATAACAATAATAAAAACAATACTTTTATCTCTGTTATTAAAGCACATTTGAGTACATTTGGTCCAATGTGACTTCAATTATTTCAATGATACTTTCTCCAAGGACATTTTTGTTTCTTTTAAATATGATTACTTTGATTTAAGTATGTTTTTAAGTAGTCTCTTATTTATCCTTCTATATTTAGTAATAATTTAATTAAATAATAGAATTCCAAGTAATACAGTTAGAAACTCTAATGATCTATGTTAAATTATTGAGTTTTAAGTCATAATTTTTAAGATTTTGTAGAATAATTCAAGCTGACAGTGAAATGCTGTGAAATTAAACGTGTTTAAGCGTTTCTCGACAACTTATAAAAATTTCATGAGAGAGCGTCGTATTATTAATTTTGTTTAGAAAAATTTGAGCTGTTCAATTCAAGCAATTAGCTTTTTCAAATAACATTATTAAAGTTTGATTATTTATTATACATCTAAAATAGTTGCTCTTTTCAAACCTTTGAGAGATTAAAAGAAATTTCTATGGACAAAAGGTCAAGGACATTATCGACATATCGCTTTAGAGTTTTCTTTGACATGCATAAAACCTTATATATAAAAATAGAAAAGTTCGATAAAAACGTTATTTAATAGATTAAACGTCGTTTTCGACAATAATTTCTCTGAATATATCAAGAAATTGAAATCTCTTCAATAATAGCGCAATCTAAGAATCAATAATAAAATATGATTTTTTACTTTTCCATGAATAGAAACATTAGGGAATGAACATGAAGCAAAGAACTCTCTTACAATATATAGAAAGTATTCTTTAGCATTTCTACCTCACTTAATGTTGATATTAATTGTTTAATGGCTATTATTTGAGACTATAGAGTCTTCAAGCAGCCATATACAGTATGTATTTGTAAAGAGGTCCTTCCCTTAAGTTTTAAGACAAAAAAATATATACGCTAAGGATTTCGGCCTAAAGACATTAAAACTAAAAATCTTTAGAGAATCAATATTTATTTTCGAAGATTGTGAATATTGCACTCATTTCATCTCTAGGTTTTTTTTTAAAAAAAAAAAAATATTTCTTTCCCGTTTGTTTCTTTAGCTGTAATTTTCTTGAAAAATAAAAAAAAAGACTCTAATGAAATGAACATAGAGAACGGTATTATAAGCAGCTATTTCATTACTTTGAAATAAATTTTTAGAGGATTAGAAAATAGAGATTATTAAAAAAATTTCTCTTAAGAAAAAGCTAGTTTAGTTTAGATGAAAAGTGAGATGTTAAGTTTCTAAAGTAATTTACTTTAGGGAAGAAAACCTCCCAGACTTCATCTAGCTGAATATCAAAGAATAGATATAGAATCTAGTTGATAAGAGCATGATTATTTATTTCAACGTATAAGAACTATCTTTTTGGGGAATGATAGAAGAAATCTGATTTCATTTATCAGTTTTCTCCTCTCCAAAAAAACTTCCCCTCAAGATTTTATATATAAATAATCAAGTAAGCAAGCTTCTAACAACGTAAATATGACTAGGCCTTTTACCGAACGTGATGTTTGTGATGTATTTCGTATAATTAAAACTATTGATAATAGATTGTACCAAAACATAAAACAATTGTGAAGCAAGTAAAGAAACTTACTTCTTCAATATAAATTGTTTGCCAACATTCAATAAATAAATAGCCACTAGATGACTCTGCCTCACTTCAAAAAATATCTTGTATCATTAATTTTAACAAACAGTGAAGCATATGTTACAATTGTAAGAAACAGTAAATTACCGATGTTACACGCACAATTAGCAACTATGAATGAATTTTGCTTTTCAGCAAAAACAAGGTGAAATTTTATTCGATATATGTAAATATATAGTATACATTTATATATATATATACTATATATATATTAGTATATACGTAGATTGCAATATAGTTCTATATTATTACTATTATTATAGACTATTTTCAATGTTATTGTGGGAGTTAACAATTAATAATAGTAATAACAATAATCAAGTTTTTGATGTATATAAAAAAAGAAATATAGCCAAATGGTGTTAGCTGTAATAATTAACTTTATTTTCATTTAGCCTGACAAAAAAGGGAGTATTAGATATGAAAAAAAATTCGTTTGGAGAAGAATATTATTCTTTGCAGAATAAGAAATCAATATTGTATATTTTTTCTGTTTCCTTGTATCAAAGATTGACTTTAACAAGTTTATGCTGCTTAAAAGAAGACAAGACTATAGTGGAAAAATAAGAGAGGTGGAGAATATTCAATGTCACATTTTTCAATGTCATTCTTTTTCAATGACTCTACTCACTTCTGTCATAGGGTTTGATGGGTAGGGTATTTTTTTTAGAAGAGAGGAGATAAGAAAGGGAATAAGAGGGTAAATAAGTGCTAGGAAAGGGCGATTGAAGGGGGTAAAATCGACAAAGTTTATAAAAAGCTACTGTATTTGTGTTTTAAATGTAAAACGTTGACAAACTATGAGTGATTCGGGGAAAAGACTGCTGACGATAGAAACTAAGGGAAGATGAGAAAACACGAGAGGAATGGAAAAAGAGAATATATACCTGCTATGCATATGCGAATTGCATATTGACTACGCAAAAGAAACTCGTACATTCCATTAATGTAAAAATACAAATGTTTACAGCTGTATAAAAAATTTTATTTTACGGTTATTAGACTTAACAGTTAATAAATTATGAAATAAGGGTGAAGAATCACTAAACATGTTTATTTACTCTTTGAAATCATAATAAGAAAAAAAAGACTCCCCAGAGCAAAGACTAACCAAAGTCACATAATCTCATTAACTTCAATTAAGTCTTTACGTACGGAAATCAGAAACAAGAGTATGAATGATTCTCTATGAATATTACATTTAAACATTAGTGGGGTCCATTAAGCTAAGTAAAGACATAAAGAAAACATATGGTCATTACATAAGATTTTGATTATTTTATGTTATGACAAAGGACAATTTTTAGAATAGTAAAAGAGTTATAAACTAATATGAAAATAAAATTGATTAGGTCAATCAATAAAACGGACAAAAAAATCTAATCAACCGAGATGCTGATGCATGATAAGCGCCTCAGGCGTCAAAAAGAAAAGTGAGATATAAACTCTCTTGATTTACTGAGATTTTTCTCTCTTTTTGTCTTCGTATATTAATAGATATTTTACCCAGGATTCACTAATTTATTCAAATCCATATAGTAACGCCATTGGATGACAGAATATTAAAAAAGAAAACAATAGTAACTGAGAATTGAATTACTCCGTACTTTATTAATAGGCCTATTAAATAATGTACAGATATGCCAACATTTTCAATCGAAATTTGTGTATGATTATATACATTTATATATTAAATATAGCATCAAGGATCTTTCTATAAACTATGATTATGCAGAAGTGCCCGGACGTATAAACATATACACACAATTCCTTGTTGATAGACTTTTTTTATTAAAAGCTTATATGAGGGTCGTAAAGCAGCCAGTGGCTGAATATTTTCATCCTCATCAACCTTGTAGATAGGAAATTGTTGGATATAAAGTAAGAAAACAATCCATTGGGATAAAAAATTAGACAAGCAAGAGAATTTAGTCCTATTTAGGGTTAGAGAGAACTTTTACATATAAATAAACGGATAGGTGAACTCTTGGCGAGTAACTGACAGGCAGATAGCATCTGCCCGGCAATGATTTTTTTGCTGAGTATGCAGAATAAAGTCGGTAATCGATAATTCGTCAAAAGTAGGTTATACACATATTGACGACTGACATACTTATATGTGGGGCATTCTTTAAGAAATTACGTACAAATGAGCATTTTGAAGAGTGCTTATTAATGATGAATAATTAAAGGGAAATAATGAGCTTGGACATTGCGACGAGCGTCATAACGTGCAGTATATGACGTAGATCGAATCAATAGTTCGAGTCTGGTCGAGCGGGTGCCTTGCAGTCGGCGCTATGCAGAGCAACGATGCAGTAGCGGACAACGCATCTGGCCGCGTGAATAATGGTTACAGCTGTACGGACTGCAATGCTGCAGTGGAACAGCAGCTGTTGGCGCCGGAGGTACGCAGTAAACGTAAGTCGTGTAATACGACAGTATCCGACATAGGTGCGGATTATATGAAAGTTAATGGCGCTGTTCGGCCGTTTAAACAGCTACAACGGCCAGAACATCAAATTCAAATGTCTCCGACCAAAGAGGAGTTGACTATTGTTACTAACGAAGCCGCTAATCCGCAACTTCAGCAGCAACAACAACAGATACAGCATTTTCATCACACTCCAACAGAAGAAAGACACCCAGTTGGACATGGAAAGAGTCACAAGCACAATGTTGGATATCGCCTCGGTCAACGCAAAGCTCTATTTGAGAAGAGAAAAAGGATTTCTGATTATGCCCTCGTTTTTGGTATGTTTGGAATACTTGTAATGGTCGTCGAAACGGAATTAACAATGGCCAGAGTCTATCCTAAGACGTCGTTCTATTCTATAGCTCTCAAATCTTTAATCAGCGTTTCAACGGTCGTGCTCTTGGGCCTAATTATAGCCTATCACGCACTAGAAGTTCGACTCTTTGCCATCGATAATTGTATAGAAGATTGGCGTATTGCCATGAATACCCGCCGAATTTCGCAGATTTGTGTAGAACTACTAGTCTGCGCAGTACATCCTATTCCCGGTTCTTTTTCGTTTCCATGGAAAAAAATATACAAGAATACTGTCTCGTCCGTTTCGGTTCCCGTTGACCTACTCCTCTCACTCCCTATGTTCTTCAGACTCTACCTGATTTGCAGAGTAATGTTGCTGCATTCCAAACTATTCACCGATGCTTCCTCTCGATCCATCGGCGCCCTCAATCGAATTAACTTCAATACACGCTTCGTTCTCAAGACGTTGATGACAATTTGTCCCGGAACGGTCCTCTTAGTCATTCTGCTCTCTCTATGGCTAATAGCCAGTTGGACTTTACGAGCGTGTGAATCTTATCATGATCCAAAGCATGAAAACTTGTTGAATTCTATGTGGTTAATTTCTATAACTTTTTTATCAATCGGATACGGAGATATCGTTCCTAATACATATTGTGGGAGGGCGATTGCTGTTGGAACTGGTGTGATGGGAGCCGGTTGTACGGCTCTAGTTGTTGCCGTTTTAGCTCGTAAGCTCGAATTAACTAGAGCAGAGAAGCATGTTCATAATTTTATGATGGACACTCAGTTGACAAAACGTTTGAAGAACGCTGCTGCAAACGTTCTTCGAGAAACATGGTTAATTTACAAATATACTAAACTCGTTCGAAAGGTGAACAATTCGAAAGTTCGAGCCCACCAACGTAAATTTTTACACGCTATTCATAGTCTACGAAAAGTAAAAATGGAACAAAGAAAATTAAATGATTCAGCAAATACACTCGTTGATATGGCTAAGATGCAAAGTAATATGTTCGAAATGATGCAAGAGGTTCATCAGAAAACTGCAGAACTCGACTCTCAAATGCGCACTGTGTGTAAACGACTTGAACAATTGACTTCGAGAGGCTCCAGGCCACAATATCCCTAACTGTTTTTTCTTTGTTTCTGAAAATTTCAAGTTAATTTTATGTTTGTAAGTATAAGCAGAGCATTTATATATATATATATTTCTATATATCTATATACTGTATATATATATAAAGTTATATATATATATATACTCTTTGCAAAGTATAGTTATATCTGCACTACAAGTGCGAGTACAAATATTATATTGTACATATTTATACATTCATTTCTAAAAATGTTTAATAAATCGCCCATTTCTAAAGAACCGAGATATACGTAGAAATGTATATTATAAATAACTCTTGTTTATAAAGGCGGATAGAATAAAAAATGTCTTCACAAACAGAAACGGTCAGGTAGAAGAAAATATGTGCCGATATATATCTCAGCGTGTGTTTATAATCTGCTCAGCAGTCAGTCGACGCATTACAAAATCATTGCAGTTGTCTTTCTCGTATAAAATTACTAAAAATCTACATAGTTGCTACGAGTAAAGTCTTTATGTGAATGATTGCGATATCTTGAGGTCATTCGTAAATAATCTCCAGCATACAACGTCACGCCGAGAGACGCAATAGAGACGTTGTTGTTTGCGTTACTTGGTATATATTAGATCCGATTTATTCCACCCTTTCTAATTCATGTATGCGCGATATTTATAGTTCTGTAGTATATTGATTAAGCAACGATCGTAGGCTAAGCTGTGTAGGTACAATCAATTTGATAACGTATCTGTTTTATTACCTTATTTCATAAAAAAGAGATCTAAATATGGAAAGTGTGTAGATACGTATCGATTATGTGCAATCTTCCGTATTCTTCCACGTACTCTTATCGTGATTAATTGATTTCGTGATTGTTCTACATGCATATAAACACAATAATTGTAAATAATCTAATTGAAATAACCTCAACTTAACGTATTTTGCAGAAAAGTAAAAAGTTTACAATTGTTTGTACTCGAATGACACACCCATTGTTAATCTTGAAACAACATTGGAACGCATATATCTGTATTTCCATTTATAATGTTATATTACGATTAATTCTTACGCTTCACTTGAAGCCAATCTGTACTGAAATGTCCTTTTGTCTTCAAAGAAAATGTATGCTCGTATTTCAAAGATTTCATAGCTATAGATATTTTGCAGACTCATCAAAAACAATATTTAGCAAAACTGTAATATTTCAGGAAGTAGTATGAATAAGTGCTAAAATTTTTCTAGGTATGATGTAGTTGATTGCGAAAGACTTTATTCATTCAGTGTAACTAAAGCGTTAAAAGCCCAACACTTAGCGTATAAAAATAAAAGCTAGTGATCTTCTGATCTTGCTTTTGCGCTTCGTAACTTGGTTAGTCCTTGGTGCTTATTATAGGCTTACCCAAAAAAATAAATATGAAGAGATAGAAAAGTGGGTTGGGCTAAGCGTGTTCGTCTTGAAGTCAGTAAGTAATTGGTTTTTAGCAAGTCCTAGAGGATTATCAGATTTTTACATTATTTTTTTTTATAGTGAAAATAGGTGGCTCTACCGTCTACACTTTTCACAACGAAGCCATCTCAATTGAGTGAAAACGCTTGTCACTGGTCTATTTATATATAAACTGTTTATAAATTTATATATATGTATAAATAAATAGTAGTCATGCCGACATATTCTCCAATCCGAAACTGTTTAGCTCTAATAACAAAATGATCGATAATATCCATTAGCATACATGTATTATGTAACTAACTATACAACAGTGATGTGTAACACGTTAAACTGCTTAACTTTTCAGCTGTAGATGGCGTGTACATTGAAGTTAAATAAATTCATATTTACATGTTTTCTATGAGTAAGTTTGTGAGTCAATGTAAGAATTAACTCTTTGACAGCAACATTTAAAGCCTATAAATTGTTTTTTTTTGCTCTTTTATTTATAAAACTACTCGATTAAGGTGCAGAATATTAGAAATAAATATTCGTGTTATGCTTACTGTTCGAGCAGTTCAAGCTTTCTGACTTCCTCTTAGAAAAGAGTAAAATTCCTTCTTTGCGGTTTGTTTTTTATCTATCTTTATACCTTGTTGCTTTTCCAGAAATTATAGCATTAAAAATAGCCATTACCTAATTAATCTTTTAATATCAACTATAATAATCGACTAAGTTACCCACGCAAGAAAGTTTTTATTTCCGAAAGGCTTTCATCCGTAAAAGGATTTCAAAATGGCTCTAAATGGTTTTATTTAAGTACTTTTATCTATATAGAAAATTTAATCGGAAGTATAAAAAGCGTTTACGTATAATATAAACCAGATCTTGGTAACTATAACATTTAGTTTAATTACAAGCGAATTGAGATTGTCAATACAAAAGTAATTATATCTATAAAAATATAATAGAATGCTTGTCTTTTTGTATGGTTTTATTAAATTATTATAATGATGTTGATAGTACAAATAATGGCATCAATAAACATAACAATAGATTTCTTAGGAAGAGTGTAAACTCGATACGGCTTAGAATGAAAACGATTTATATAAATCTATAGTATCTTCTTATAAATTCGTTACATTAACAATGATATTATACTATTAATTACAAGATCATTAGTTGTTGTTTTTTAGGCTGTTATTGTGTTTGTTTGTATTCTATTTTCTTATTATTCATATAATCTTTTTGTGCTTAGAGATTACAATATATTTCGCATGTTGGGAAGATGATGCGCAGATGGCTTGTTACCTATCTAGCGCTTTCTGCCATGCTTCTGGATTACATGTCAACATCGAAAGTAAATGGAGAGAAAAGAGAGCATACCTATCCGAAAAAGCCCCTAAATGCAAAGAGATTACACAAAGTTCATAGGTACGAACGACATGAGCATAATATAAGTTCGAGAACCCTTAATAGAAAAGGTTTCAATCATCCGTTACTCTTGTTCGATTCAAAGCACTTAAAGAACATAAAGCAGAACTGGTTTACACTATCGCCCAATATTCTCTCTCAAATTGAATATATTTTCAACCGTGACAAGTCATTTGCCGTACCAAAAGATAATAAAATATTCCTGACGAAACACGGAATCTCCCTAGGTTCGAATCTTCCATTAATAACGCTCTACTGCCGAATAAGTAATGATAAAAAATGCAAAAAAAAAATAATAAAAATTATGGATAAAGTTTTAAAACAAAAGTCATGGAACAATGAAAGATATACAAGCGATACAGTCCTATCCTCCATGATAACCGGTTTTACCGTTTCTCTAGATATTATAATGGAATCTCTAAGCCAAACCAGAATAAATAATTATTTTAAAAAGTTAACCTTTGAAACTAATAGATTGTATAAAAATTCAAAAAAGAATTGGTGGGGTAAAAATCATCTACACGAGACGAGTGTTAATAATCATCTTGCTATGTTTATATCCGGTGTTCTATGTAAAACTCATGGAGTGAAGGCTTCGAATGACTGGATTAATTCAGGGGGCCAGTTTCTGGATAATTTGCTGCATACAGTAAATGAAGTTAAAGATGGTTCCTTTCCTTCTTCAATTATGGAAAGTCAAATTGCATCCTTGCCGTTAATGATTTATGCAAACTTAGTTGATAGACACTATAAAATACCAGTTAACTCTCATCATTGGTTCTATGGTAACCTAGTTTTTGCTATGCATGAAATATTACCACATTTTTCATTACCTAACGGGCCTCTTGATAGTCATCATAGGTGGCTATTTGGGCCGGAAGCTCAATTAGCTTTTTTAGATAAATATGCTGTAAAAGATGGGCGTGCAACGTGGATTCTATCAAAAATTATGGAAAGTCCCACCTACAAACATATTATAGAGCTTAGAAAAAGCAACTCAAAATACCCGTCTCTATTCTATTATTTAATTTGGAGAAATGCTAGTCTTGTATCCAGAAGACCCAGATTCACTTCAGGGTTATTTCATCTTCCGGATTCAGGATTAGTTCGCTACAGAGATATAAATTGGGATTTATCATTAAGAGCATCTCGTCCTTATGGATTAACAATAGAATCGATGATAAATAGAGGTTTGTCCGGTATCCATTGGTCGAATTTAATGCCTGTTGATGATCCACCTTTCCAGGCTGGTATCAGTTTAATAATGAAAGGAATACCAGTATTTACACCAATTCCGGGAGCCTCTTTTTCCAGTCTGCATAATACCATTACGTTTCGGGCGGTGCGCACAAAGTGGAAAGGTTGTCTTGCCCCATGGTTTGGACAATTGGGTGAATGCGCAGAAAGACGTCCTTTGGGAGCCAAAGCGGATGTACTTACGGCCTCCAGAACAGTTGACGGCTTCACATTACTGGCAGTTGACGCCATGCACTCTTATCCTACTTTCCTTAAATTAAAAAGCGTTCAACGTCGAGTTTTAATAATGGGAGATGATATGCTATTAATAGTTGATCATATACACGCTAATAAACATACACCTATTGATAAAGCTTCGTCGTGTCTTATAAATTTCTACTTTCCATGGAAGTCGCTTAAAACTAGAACAGGATTTTCAACTCATTATCTGAATACGCCTGGAGGAAAAATCTTTGTAAAGGTGACGTCTTTGAGTACTAACAGTAAACACATTCATACAAATGTTATTAACGCCACTGTTAAAGGAAAGAATGGAGAATCCATAGATATTAGCACGTTAAATGTCACATTCAATTTAGAAAATGACTTAAACACTCTTGTATACATAATCGGAGCACCAGGAGTTGAAATTTCATCTAATCAAATGGGAATGTCAAAGCAAAAAGATTCGTTCTTTCTTATTCTTGAAACACAAAATAAGGCAAGATTTTCTTATTTATGAATAATTAAAAATTAGTCAGAATTTAGAGAAATATCAACACAAAATTTATTCTTTATTAACATAAAATCAAGTTAATAGATCTAAAGAGTCAAATGAAGTAGGATTTTAATTAAATTAAGAGAAACGGAAGTTACAAACAACAAGTAGAAATAGATAATAATAATAATAATAAAAATAAAGAAAATCTTGCCTTTGAAAGATTCAAGAAGTGATTATGAAATATGGCGGTCCTCTCGGATGTGAAATAAATGATAAAATTACAAATAAAACTGTACGATTTGACGCTATACCTCACGTAAGAAATTTTCATACATTTGGACCTTTAAAGCGAGTTAGTGGTAAATCTAATCCACTTTATAGCATGAATATGGGAGTTAGAAACTTTGGAAAATCTTTTAGGCAATTTAAAAATGTATCTTATGAATTTCGTTCAGACGGTTTCGCCGAGGTTGATAAACTTGAGGAGGTAGAAGAGCTAATTCCAACAGTTTCCAATTATAATATAACAACTGGAGAACTAACAACAGTAACCGATGCACCAAGAAATGTAACTGTGCAATGGAATATACGGGCATTTAATCGTCTTGAAAAGGATTTGTTGTACCGCATTCATTCTTCACCAAAATATGTATATAAGGAGAATGAAGCACTAGATATCAATAACATTCAAATGGATCATGATTATCCAATCTTGACATGTATTCTTGTTACTTGTTCTATGATATTATTTTCTTTTGTACTTTGTAAGCTGTTTGTCTTCAAATGTGTTCGAGGATTCCTAAGGAATATGTTTTTCAAGGAATATAATTGACAATGATTTTTTTTTTTCAAATATCGCCATTAATTTGTTAGTTTATTGAGTTAATATGTCTGTAAGTAGCAGATATAGTAGGGTATAATTGATGTAAAATTACATGTTTTCTTTCTGAGAAATGAGTTATTTTCAGATGATTTATTCGCTTTCATTAGAAAAGTACAATATTGCGCTTTAATTAGGCGTGTCATGCTAAATTATAATATCTATTACACCATATGTCAACGACTTAAGTAGACTTTTTATAGCGTGTGAATAAGGCATTTTATAACCTGGCCTTCTATTATATAATGATGCTTAACAAACTTAATAGTTAGTATTATTTTTATTCTTTCATTCTATACAGATTATTAAAGAAATGTAAAATTTAGCTGGAATTGAATATAAAAGATTTATTAATAGATCGAAAATATTTTGGTTTCAAAGAGAAAATGGTAGAGTTCCATTGATAGAAAAACAATATATTATAGTAGAAAAATCGCATAATAGACTTAATATTCATACAAAAAAAAATCCTAAATGAAAAGCGAATTATTAATTGGCGGTAAGGAACACGACCAAGCCATTAACGTCGCTTGAAACGATTCGACTAGCTATAGGAAATGATCCATTGATTTCTAGGAGCGCTTTAAAAAGGCGATTTTTTTCTGCGCGGTGTGTCACTTCCAGCGATCTCGTAGTTCAATATGCTCCGAGGACAAACACTTCAGGAAGAGCTCTCTAATCCTGTTCGATTGTTAAAAAGTTTAGCAGATACATCTCCAGATCGAATATCTTTAATTGGATTACACCAAAGAATATCCTATTCGGAATTATTTACGAATGCTTTAAATCTATCGGAATATTTACAAACATATAACTGTAACCAAAAAGTTATTGGTATTGTTATGGAATCCTCAATTGAGCGAATTGTGGCAATAATTGCTGTTTGGATAAAGAAGTGTATAGTGTTGGCTTTCGATCCTCAAATACAACCAGAATCTTTTATTATTGAAAGAATAAAGGAAAATAATGTTGATTTAGTAATTTCAAACTGTAACGCAAGAAATCATTTCGCTCCAATAGTTATAAATTATAAAGAAGCCATGAATTCTATTCCTATGACACGAACGATAAATTTAAACGATTTATCATCAGGCGATGTTTTATGCATATTATACACATCCGGATCAGAGGGGAAACCAAAAAAGATCGAATTGAGAAGCGAATCGTTAATTGTCCGTCTAGTATGGCAATGGCAAACGTTGCCTTGGCAAAAGAAGGAAATCGCTTTGCATAAAACGAGTATTCTTTTCGTTGATTCATGGACGGAAGTATGGGGAGCAATTCTCAAAGGTGTTCCATTAGTTATTGCTAGTGAACAACAAAAGATGGACGTCAACTCCTTATTGAATTTAATCGATAGTTTTAAAATTACTCGAATAGTTTTAGTACCCAGTGTTTTAGACCTTCTCTTGCAAAGTGGTAGAAGTTTACCAAACTTACAAACAATAATATCATCGGGTGAAAAACTTCCATTAAAATTAGCAACTGATTGCTTAAAGTTTTGGAATGATAAGCTATTGGTAAACCTCTACGGAATGACTGAAGTAACTGGAGATGTAACTTTTGAAGTTTTTAGATCAATTCCAGATTTGAATTCGAAAATTTATAATTGCGCTCCGTCAGTTGGTCAACCTGTATTTAATACTAATATATACATTGTTAAGGAAAATCGAATTTGTAATGAGAGAGAAATTGGTGAAATTTGCATTAGTGGAGATTTACTAGTTACTGCCAACGTTACTGATAATAAATATTCGAACGAAGGAAAGCATAGTCGAATATTTTATACTGGAGATCATGGTCTTATAAGAGAAGGACGAGTTTATGTTTTGGGTAGAAAAGACGACGAATTAAAGTTAGCCGGTGCTAGAGTTCAACCCAGTCAAGTTAGCGAAGAACTGCTAAAAATGCCTGCTATAAGCGAAGCATTCGCTATGGGCCTAGATAATCGTTTAATCCTTTACTATACATCCGATAACAGCATTACGAATGAAGATGCAGAGAATTTCTTAATCGAACGTCTCCCAAGTTATATGGTTCCGTCAATAATCGAAAAGATTGATTCCCTACCCAAACAACCACATACAGGGAAAATAGATAGGCAAAAGATAAGAGATCTCTATCAAAGTCAGTTTTTAATTGATAGACAAAATGAAGATGCCTTTTCCGATAAGATTTTGATTATAATTGCAAAGAGCTTAAAGTTGGATTCAAGCACAACCGACATTGCTGCATATACATTTCAACAGTTAGGAGGAAACTCTATATCAGCAATGCATGCATCAGCACTATTGGCTGAAGAAGGCATGACAATACACGCATCACAATTATTTAATTGTGGACAATTAAAGAATTTAACAGCAATCTCATCAATACCTTATAGTATAGCAGAAGATTATGAAATATTTCCCTTAGAAAGTATCCCCAATCCAGAAAGAGGTATTAAGCTAGTAGCTCATTCTTTTGCGCTTAGCAACCCGTTAGATGTTTTGGCTTGTACAAGCGAACAGTCGCTAGTAAGGCTAATAACAGCAATGTTTCCGGCTATTCGCGGGGATCAATTAAGTTCTGCTTGCTTCTACAAAAAGAACTTGGTTGGAATTCAGTTCACAATGAATGTGTCAAATGAGGAGCCGCCGCAACAAATTCGTCTGTGGCAGAAAACTCCTGTAGGGGCTATAAATACAGCGGCTGAAGCCGCTCCATTGGATTTCGCAAAGAATTATGGGGGACTATGGGCAGATTCGGTTTTAACTGCAATTAATTCGGAGCTATTACAGCCAGAACAGAGAATGGAAGTGTTAGAAAAACTATTCATAAATGAAATAAACGTTGTAAAAAGCAGAGGTATCAATGGAATACTGACTGTTAACTCCCATCCAGTAACCGCAGTAAGTTTGATCCTATAAATCTAAAACAGACTGTTTTTAATGTATCTTTTATCAAATAGGATCTGGCGGAAACGTTTTTCGATTATAAGATCGTTAGCAAAATTCATGCCTCTAGTTGGAAACATTCAGATGGAACAACCCCATTTTCCAGAGCTTTAAATAATTATTATGTTCTTGGTATGGTTAAGATTTTAACATGAACAATTCATACTATTCACAATGATTTTGAATGCTTTAACGTTACAAGAGAAAACGACGCATTTAAATTTCAATATTGAAGTAGAATTTGACTTTTTTTGACTTAAAAATTATGCTAATTTTATTTAGTGTCATCGTGTATAAATTGTGAAATTACGAATGTAAAAAGCGTTAAAAATTACGTAATTCAATAAAAGCTAATTTTCTTAGAAAGTGATTTCGTCTGACGTCTGAAATTTGCGTTAAAATCTAAGGAGGACAAGGTAAAGAGAAACTTTAGTGATACTAAGAATTTCTATAAAAATAGCTATAAAAGTAAAATATATATAATGTATATAGATATTATATGATATTGAAAATTAAAGATAAGTGCAACCACATTGTATATTAATATCAAATTATTCATATTTAATGCAAAAGAAGGTTATTTTTGGCCTAGACTTTTTTTTCTGTAATTGAAAACAGACAAATCCATTCTCCCTATCCTCTTTGTAATATAAAAAACTGTCTCTGCCAAGCTTAGAGCTCTCCAACACAGACCTATTGATGATCGATGAAACTGCTAACTAGTTTCTTCCTTATAGTACTTTCAAAAGATTGAAATTACATTAGGTAACAATTTACACTTTGGAAGCAATGAAAACAAATACAGAACAAAGGTAAAATTATCTAAGTGATGTTTTTAACTCAATCAAAATAAATAAAATGTCTCTTTCATACATTAAAATTGGACGCTGAGCTAATAATAGGTATTCCCCTTTGAATAAATCCTACCAGTTTCTTTGATTTATTCTGAGTGTTTATTTTCTATTAACATATTCAAGTTAACAAAAAGTTTGAAAATAAGAATTAGGTAAAAGATTGGCCTGACGTATAATTTATTCAAGGTACGTTAATTCGGTTATAAATTTTCTTTTATAACTAATCATTGAAGCTGAATTTTACACAGCTTTTATAGTGGATTAACGAGAGCTTTATGAATCTTTACTGGCCCTGAAGAATGGTATATTGGAATTAGCGCCATCTGAAAGCTATAAATGAAAGAAAGAAAATAAACGAAGCTCAATACTTTTTGTAGATATAATGGGAATAATGCGAAGAACAGATTATAATTCCTTTAACGTTTCTTATAATAACGGAAGTTGCTTTTTATGCTTCTCAAAAACATCCTGAATCCCTTTTAAATCATACTATAAATTAAAACGCATATTTACACTATTTAAAGTCGCAATAGTAATTGTGACATTTCAAAGGCCTAATTGTTATCAACCCGTGTTTATTTTTAATTGTACCTTCAGACTACCAGATGTTGGACGCTTTAAGGTTCCAAACAGCTAATGAGGGAGGATAATAAGGGCGCTACGCAGCAACAATTACTTTGTTACGAGTTAGACACCAATATTTGTTCGGAAGATATAAAGTGTATAATTTACAATATACCTTTATGATCATAGTTTATCATCCAGGTTATAAATAATTAGCTTTTCATATATAATAGCTCAAAGTAATTATAGGCAAAGTTAAAGAGAATTTAATAACGTTTACATAGGATTAAACCTTAACGAATCATCACCTACCAACTGTGTCGTCGCATGACTGATAGAGAATCTTATAATTAACTTCTCATAGAAAGAAAATTGATATATATTTTATGCAAAAGAAAAAAAATAAATAGATTCTACTTATTTCGTCTTATATGAATGAACCCCATGGGAGGAGAAAAACAAATCATTTCTCCATTCCCTATACAGTTTGAATAATGAAAGTTTTCTAATAATAAAGGAGCCCTTTCGGAGAAAAACTAATCAATTAGTAAAACGAATGTGTTAGGTAAGGAAATTTTAGCAATCATACTCGATACTTGTAGTGTCTATATAAGAATAAAAGAGAGATTTAAATGTCTTTGATTATCCTTTTCTTTACTTGAAATTTACGCTCTAGTTCAAATTGCCTGTTACACTTTACAATTAAAAAGTCTAAGGAAAGAAAAAACAACTAAACTTAGGATTTTCCCCTTCGAGAATAAATATATAACAATCTAAATATAATAAAAAATCTACAATATATATTATTTATTTATAATAAACATTTACATTATTTTATTTTAAATAAATTAAAGAAGAATAATAAAGAAAGGAGTTTTGTTAAGATGTGTTAGGTTTAATTAGTACGATTGAGACCATTGTATACAAAGTTCTATGAATTTACGCTTGTACAAATAATAAACACTCTTTTATTTTGCATAAATATTCGTGTATCTATATAAGTTGGACGTTTCCGACATATTTATGTTAGCCTATTGTGAGCTTTTTAAGTGCAATCGTATTAAAAAGAACCGTGCAATCTTATATCCTATTTGAACTAAATAGAACAACAGAGGATTTCTCGTATTTAGGAATATATATTTGTTTCTAACAAAAATGCCTAGAAAAATAAATAAAAGGCGGTAAGCATCGCAAATGTAAATGCTATAAGCGCCAGATGGCAGAGAAGAGATGCCGCTGCGTATTAAAACAAGAAACAATGTCAAAGATATTTTTCCTTCAATGGATAATTTATAACGTAAATAAAAACAAATAAAGAGAAGCAAAGGAGAAAAAAGGGAAATTGTAAGAATGACATCAGCGAAAAGATAATTAGACTCAGAGATGAAGGCAATCAGGAGGCTAGGCCCAACTCTAATTGTTTTACGTGTCGAACAGGTGATTGTTTATTTGTCAATTCGCCAAGTTATACGGGCAATTTAAACGCAACATTCCGATTTTTTCCGCCTATTCGCTCACCAAAGCCGGCAATTAGTGCCAATAAAAAGCCCGAGACAGGCGTTGACAACTTTTCGACCAATAGGCGACTAGCGCTCGCCGCCGCTCCTCGCGCCATTTCTCACTTTCGCCGCTTTCTTCGATCTTCGACTATGATCTCATTCCACCGTCTTTTTTTCTTCTTCGCACTCTTATATCCAAGTTTTCAAGATATTCTTGATTTGGATGAGGAAGATACTTGCTATGAGAATAACAAGCCGGTGTTTTGTCTGCCGAAATTCGAAAATGTGGTTGAAGGAAAAAAGATTACGGCTTCTTCTACGTGCGGTCTCAAAAATAAATCACGAATCTGCTTAAAGAAGAGGAACGAGTATCTAAAATGTGACGTCTGCGACTCTACTGATCGGACAAAACAGCATCCAACAGATTTTCTTACAGATTCGGATACTCCGAATAAAACATGTTGGATTTCTGAGGCACTTATGACGCCTCCCCCGCACAACGTCAGCATTAGAATACATTTTGGTAAATCGTTTGAGCTTACCTACATTTCGATCGTCTTTTGTCAAGACGCTCCTGACAGCGTTGCTCTTTATAAATCTATGGACTACGGTCAGCATTGGACGCCCTTTCAATACTATTCATCTTCTTGTATGGACTTTTACGGCGTCAGACCTAATCAAACCATTACCCGGGACAATGAACAAGAAGCTCTCTGTTCTCCTCTCAAGGGCGGTGTTTCCGCGACCTACGATACTCCAACAATTGCTTTTTCAACTCTGGAGCACAGGCCAAACTCATTTAACCTAGACAATTCACCTGTTCTTCAGGACTGGGTGACGGCTACTGATATTAAAATAATATTCGATCGTCTTTTACAGAACAATGCTCTGGCCAGCAGTTACATGACTATGCATTATGCCGTCTCCGATCTATCGATCGGTGGACGATGCAAGTGTAACGGTCATGCTGACAGGTGTATTACGGATGAATTTGGAAGGTTGAAATGTGTTTGTAAACACAATACGGAAGGCAGAGATTGCGAGCGGTGCAAGCCATTATATCAGGACAAACCTTGGGCGAGAGCCACAAAGCAGAATGCCAATGAATGCGTCAGTGAGTATAAAGAGAAGAAAAAAGCCGCGGAAATTTTATTAGCGATCGTGGAAGTTTACACACGTGCTATGTGGTCAGATAATGATTAATAGGCTTTTCAACGGCGTTCTACAGGTGTTTTTATGATGCAACTACTTGCACCAGGTGCGCAGTTTGCGCCAAAATTCCGCAATAATCCTCTGACTTCTAACAAATTCAAATTTCTTAATTACGTAACGCCAAAGCTACCGACTTCAATACCGAATTAATGCTATTGGCAGTAGGCCTATAAATAGAGTATCTCAAAAATAGTTGTCGACAAAAGAGACGCTTCACTTAGGGAGCATCAGTCTTAACGCCATTGGCACGTTATGCAGCCAAAAAAAACTTTCTCTACGAAGCTTTTTACAGCTAATTTATCCACGATCCCTACATGCGTACTGTTCAACTTCACCTTTACTTCCAAGCATACACACAGATATATATATATCTATCTATACAAATAAACAAACAAATTTTATATAAATATTTTAAAAAACAAACATATAAAGTATTTAAGTTAAGTATTTTACAAATATATGTTTATGTTTATGCACGTGAATTCATATATTTATATCTATACATCTGTATAAATTAGTATATATATATATATATGTTTATATCTATACGCACCATAGATCATAGACTTATTTAACACAAATTTAAACCTAGACAGAAATATATTTATATTTATTCAGCATAAATATAGATATAGACATATCAATATTTTTTCTTCAGGAAGATATTAATTATTTTTTTTGTCTACAAATAGGCCATAAAAATAAATAAACAAATGTTTTTAACGTTTAGGATGCAACTGTAACGGACATTCGAATGTTTGTCGTTTTAACAAGGAACTTTACGAATGGTCTGGCCATACATCTGGTGGTATATGTCAAGACTGCAAGCATAATACCGCAGGAAGATTCTGTCATTATTGCAAGGAGAAGTACTACAGAGACGTAACTGTTAAGATATCACATGAACAAGCTTGTAAAGGTTAGTCTGATTATGTCTCCTAAGTTCTTTAAGATGATGTAAGTTCTACGTTATCGTTAATAAGGGTATATACCCTGCATATATATATATATATATATATATATATATATATATATATATATTTACTCTGGGATTGGTTGAGGCAGAGAAAACTGAGATTTGCAGAACGCTAACTAGAATTTCATATCTTATGAAATCTTTGTTAGTCGGTGAATGTTAATCTTTTCTTTCCTTTTTATCGTTAATACGAAAAAAAGTTTTTTCATTCCTTAATTCTGACGACGGCGAAAGAGTAAAGAGAAGCATGCCGATTCTTGCTGGAATATTTACACAGGTGTTTCCAGTGATTAAAGGTTCGGTTTAACAAAAGAAAAAAACGCGCTGTTCGGTTTCTCTATTCTTGTCTATAGGATATACGAGTGAGAGTAACGTCGACTTTTAATACTGTCGGAGATTCATTAATATTCATGAAATCTAGCAGCTCTTGAATAGGTGTCAAAATCGAATTTATAGCGTCTAATTTATTCCGTAATCTATTCAAGCTGCTGACGTGAACGATCGTTCAGACTGCCTGAATGAGCTTATAAAGCGGCAGGCACGGATGTGGAGTGGCTTTATTCGGAAGATATTAGATTTTTTCTATTCTTACCGATCCCTTTTTCTTTAACAGCTTGTGATTGCCATCATTATGGATCAAAAGGAAAAGTTTGCAATTCAGCGAATGGACAATGTCCGTGCAAAGTGGGCGTTATTGGCCGTAAGTGTAATCTATGCGCCACGGGCTACCAACAAACTAGATCGAAAATTGTGCCTTGTCAGAGAAAAATTTCCGGTTTGTACAATTAGTTTGTCGCCTCATTGCTTATTTCCACTTGATTTTACTATTTGATGCATTGCAGGTCGTAAATCAGACAGGAGTAAGTATATACGACTGTAATTTTCCATTAAGATGATTTGTAAAACATTTCTTCATCGTTTCAGATCGAAAACACAGACGAAAAAGTAGGTTACGCAATTAAATGAATAGTTTTTTTTTATGAATCGAAAATAACCCTCCCTTTGCAGAAAATTGCTGGAAGTGTTTAAAGAGATCAAAGAAAGCGAACGCGACAAAGTTTTGTAAACGTGATTACGGTAAGAATTGTATATCTCAATCTTTTTGGCCTAGTTACTTCGTAAAAGATTTCTAACGTTTTATGTCTGTTTTGCAACAAATTTTTATAGCATTCCACGTGCATGTCCTCTACACCAAGCTCAAAAAGATTAAGGATGAAGAATATCTCGCGCATAGTGTCATTATCAAAATGGTTTACAAGCGGTTACGTCGTTCTGGAATGTCTCTGAAAAAAAATGAAAGAACTGTTTTACTTGTGAAATATCTCAGTAAGACTTGTAGCTGCCCTCAACTTTTACCAAAGAAAGATTATCTGATCTTAACTCAACTTCGATCAGAGAGAAAAAGAAGATCTTATGTTGGAAGGCAAGGTCTATTGCTAAACAGAAAAACAGTTGTATTGGATTGGAAGAACACAAATTATATGGAGAGAAAAGTAGACAAATTTCAGAAACGCCAGCGGTATCTCGGCTGTAATTAATGTTCATGACCGAGATGATTAGGGTAAATCAAATTTTCAGCCAAGAGAAGTGTGGTTCTTCATTTTGTACATAAAATATATACAGTATAAACTGTATGTGAATATATATATATATATATATATATATATCTAATCTATTGGTATATATATTGCTTATGTATATCAATATATACAGTATAATTATATATACTAAATATGAATATATTAAAATTGATACGATACGGTTTATTTGTATTCAGTATGTATAAAGCATATAAAATTTATGTATTTGATATACATATGTACAGTATATATATATATATATATATATATATATATATGTATATATATATATATATATATATCTTTTCGTCAATTCTCGCCTATTCCAATCGAGTTTTTTTAATTTTTAATTATTTAATTTTTCTGTTTTTGTTTGTTTTTTGTGCTTAGTGAGATTATTGCATAATATAAACTCTGGAATTTATTACTATACTATCGCATTTTAATGTTTTATTATACGCGGGAGCGGACGGTAACGGAAGAAACTATATTTCGTAACAGGTTCAATATTTGCTTTCGCCAACGGAGAAAAATTTTTATAGATTATGGCACGTGTTTACCGACGTGTTGCATAAAAATATAAAGAGAACAGGGGGTGGTAGAAGAAAGGAAAATAGCTTATAATTGCATAAATAAGGCGGAGAAAGGAGGCGTAAAAAGTAAATGAAAATATGTTGAGGTAGAGAGGAGGTGTTACAAAGGGGAGGAGAGGGCGGAAAGGTGCCCGAGAAAGTTAAAGAAGGTGAAGGGGGAGGGCGAAAAATCATCAAATTTTTTTCTAAGCCTAGTTTAAATCCGTAGTATAGTCAGTAGTCACGCTCGAATCATTCAATGCTAACATAAACAGTTGCCAAAAACTTTTCTTATTGTTTACATTTGCTGATTAAAGTTTATTTCCGTTTTTCATTAGGCCGAAATTTTTCATTGAAGGAATGCGACAAATGCGAATAGGTGAGGTGTTTGTTTATAATTAGACGGTAAGCTAAAAGTATATAGCATAAGAGGAACGGTCCTAAAGTAAACAAACCTAATACGGAAAATGTGTAACTAAAATCTAAAATGGACATACTTTCTAAAGCTTATTGAACGTCGAGTGCGAATTAGAAAAGGCATTAAGGAGCTGAAAGAAAGCAACGAGTGCGTTGGGAGGGAGCGTTAGAAGGAGTAATTAGCATTAGAATATCGATCAGTATACGTTGGTTTGACAAGAATCGTCTCTAAAACGTGTCGATTCAAAGTGTTTCAGGCTTAAAACATTCAAGTATAGAACGTATTTATGTTAGCACTTACTCCAGTATTAGCTAAACCCTTTCCCTAATCGTTTCGTTCAGCTTTTGTAGCCCGAAAAAATAGAAAATAACATTTTCTTCTATAATTTGAGATTATCAGGCACAGTAGCCATACTCTTCTATCGTTTTTTCTCTCATTTTATCAAAACCGGCTGCTTGAGTAATTTTAATTGTATATACGAGTTGTGACTTGTTAAGTGCCGACAAAACAGAGAAGAGATTGATTCGAATATACATTTTCTTGAAAAAAACAGAAAGTATAGGAATTGGCTGGAATACCCTTAAGCTACTATTGATAATTTTATTTGCACAATTTGAGTTCCTACTAAAGAAGAAGTTTACTTTCTTTTCAATTGCCTAAACTTTCCTCAAGCTTCCCTACGTCTCGTGATTAAGAGTATATTACAATCCTTTTGAAAGGCAGGTAGATGGCGCTAAATATTAAATCTGAAAAAACCTGATCCAATTAGGTAGCGACACCTTGCGGTAAAATAAAAATTTTATTGGGACAAGTTTAAATTTTATCTGTTAAACACTGGTGTAAATTTCATCATTTCAAATGAATTATGATTGTTTACTAAAGTGATTATTATTTCATAATTTTATCACAATGACTAGCATGACAAATGTACAATTAATTGATGACTGATAGGATAATTAGGAACAGATTTTTTATAACTGATAATTAAAATTGTACTAAAAAGATTAGAATAATTTATGCTACTATCAAGTACAGTAAAAAGGGAAAACGAACATTTAAAGAAAACACATAGATTGATTGCGATTTTCTATAGGAAAAAATAAAAAGACTATCAAAAAACTATCATGAAGATAAGATAGGATTTTAAAAGACCATTAACTCGTTTTCCTCCACTTTGGATCTTGTTAGCCAATACATTTACTTTTTGTACTAAAGATGGCCTCTTCTTAGACTTAAAAAAACAAGAAAAGTTGTTCTCAGTTCAAGGATTACTGTTTAAATTGTTTTTGAAAAGAAAATAAACTTGCGAAGCTTTATTTTTATTTCTAATAAAAATAATATAACAAAAGAAAAAGAGCGTAAAATATTAATGTTTTAAAAGAAAACAATACATAATAACCAATATCAAGTGATGCTAGAATAACAAATTTGTTTACTCAAATAATAAAGCGGGTAAAATTTAATTGGTTTCATTTATTAGCGTTAAAAAGCTGAATAATCAATAGTGTTTAAAAAGCAATAAATCTCTAAATATAGGATAAAAATAACTTGAAACTCGAGTTAAGTACCGCCAAATATAAAAACACTTTTACAATACATACAAACTTCTCTAACTTAACATTACACTTATATTGTATTATTATATTATTTACTAAAAATATATTTATTCAGTTTAAGTTAATTTTAGTAAAAATAATTTTTATAGTCATTTATATCCAATTTTTTCACATTACCTTGTTGTTTTATGATAAGGCGACAATAGGAAAAAGACTAGAAAACGCCTACCAACACCTGGACAGATAAGGAACAAAGTATGCAGGTATAAACATACTGTATTTAACAGTAAACGTTTCTAAATTTATCAACATTTGTTTTCTTTCGCTTTTTTTTTTCATTTCCTTTTTGTATTTTATTACACGCAACACGTGTCTATGTGCTTACGATTTAATAACGTTATAAATCTCTTTTTTCAACCTAGTAAACCTATTTTAAAAAGATAGCGAAGGGAAAAAAAGAGAAAAACGAATCACTGCTTTCCTATCAAACGCTGTATGAATATTATATCGATAAATTTGATAGCATTGTACATATAAAACACGCTTTATGCAAATTTACTCTTGCACGCTTTTTTTTTTTTCAAGAGTTGATTAAACTATTCGAACTTTAGCTAAGTTTCTAATCTAGTTAATAAATTCAATATAATAAACTTGCTTTTAATACTTTTTATTCTTTTTCATTTTGTGATTTGATTTCCTTATCGTTTCTTAACTATTCAACTAAACGACACGAAAATTTCGATGATATTAGAATATATTTTAATATTGAATGTACTTGCAAAAAAACAAAAAAAAAGAAATTTTATAATACGTTATTAATGAAGTTATTCACAAATCACTGACTCGTCTAGACGGTAAATAAGTAACACTGCAAAGAGAAAAAGAATAACAGAACGAAACGAAGAAAAAAGAAGTAGTTGAAGAAGAATCGAGACTATACATGCTGTAAGAGGTAGTTGACGACTGGAAAAAAAAAACACAGTGCTTATATATTGCACAACGCCTTCATCCTATAAAAGCACAGGTCATAGACAATAAGCTTGATAAGCTTATACTTATATGCATACATGCTGTGAATATGTCGTTCAGGCATATGCTAATACATGCATATATATAAATTTATATATATATATATACATTTATGCTAATTTCTCAGGCGCATACACAGGTTTGGACACTGATCTTTGGGTAGCTCTTCAATGTGATTACGTCGTGCAACAAATCTCGATAGAGGAAGGTTTGTGATGACATTCTACGAGGCACGCAACAAGTATTCGGAACTCTGTCTGGCATCATTACGACGTTGATAACGCTTTGTAATACTGCGTGATTTGACGCCATAGAAATCTGTAGGATTCATAGAATAGTATATGATTATGGAGTCATTTGAGAGGAAGAAATCGAATACTCTATACTGTATACATAGCATGAGCTGTTTATGGAAAATTAATTAAAAGTTCTTACCGGCTTAGAAAAGTTGCAAGATCCCTCACAATAGTTTATGCGTAAACGTTTTGGTTCTATAATCCATTCGTTCCAACCAATATCCTCAATTCTTAAATCGAGCTTTCTCTTACTGCAACGGCGATCGTTCTTACGGCGAAGGCGCTTTCGAAGCTTTCGACGACGCCTATTCCACTTTCGAGATCTTTTCTGGTGTTTATCATACCATTCCTCCGGTGGTAACGTTTGCTCATCGAGTATACTTCCCAAGGCCCTGTGAGAATTCTTCGGAAAGAGTTTTGTTCTTGTATCGCGTTTACTTCTAGATGATAGAAGTTTATGATTAAAACTCTTCCAGTTTTTTCTCTGCATTTCGTCTTCACTTGGTAATAGACTATTAGAAGGGGAGACTACCTCATTTTCTTTTTCCTTTATTATACCTTTCCAATGTTTTGAGTGAAAAAATGATCGTGAATGAGTTGGTAGATGATCTACGGATAAACTGTTTGTACCATCAGACAAGAGAAGAAGGTAAGGGTTTTTTGATAACTTTTTCCAATCAGTTTCGTGTAAAGAAATACCAAAGATCGTTTGTGTATTAGACCAGCTTCTGATTCGTTGGATAGCTTTGGCTAAATTAACTTTTCCATGCTTCACTTCATAATAGCCCTTCTCAATAACAGGTTTAGAATTTCGGCGAATTGTATGAATTGTTAGGAAGGTCCTGTTCCAAGAAGACTTTGAACGATCGTGCCATAAGTGTACTTGAGCGTTCTTTAGCTTTTCGGCCTTGGGGAGGGCGGAGATGTTGAATATTAAAAAGTCTTTATCGCCTAGGTTAACTGAAAATATTATGAAGATGTACAAATTAAGAAATTTTTAATTATCATTAGATATATAAGAATTGATCAAAAGATTAATAATCACATCTGAACGATAAGCAACAAGTAAATGTTAGCATTTAATCTAAAATTGAAATGACAAATGCAGTCATTCGAGTTAATTAAAATAGACAATGATGAAAAATATATGAATTTTGCAAATAATGCAAATGTTATTTGTCATATTTACAAAATAGAAATATTTATATTCGAAATATGTTTTATTAAAGAAGTTTAAATACCTTTATAGCCTTTAACGTATCTCAGCGTGTTACCCACGAAACCATTCAGGTAAATGGAACTTCTATTAAATTTGGAGTAATATTCCAACATGATATTAGGAATTATTTTATCCTTTAATAGTTTGGAACGATGCATACGTTCGAGGAGATTTGCAGCACTTTCAATTAAATTTGCTTCCTTTGTAGCCTTCGCACAAATGAGAAGGGAGTTAAGCAAGAAGAGGCAGAAAAGTAGGGTCTTCTTCATTTTTATCTTTTTGACAGCAATCCTCTTTTTATCCTTGTTATTTATTTAGAGAAGCGAAGAATTTTGTTTACGTTTCCGTTCGTAAATACGTATATAGAGAGGTTTGACGATGCTTTAATTCTGTTTGAAAACGTGTGTTATCTACTCGGCTCCTGATTCGATGAAATCTACCTACTCCTCTTTTGCTCTATTAAATCTGCTCTTTGGCGTCAACTAATTAAGCCAAAATCCAAATATATCTATCTAAAACAATAGTAAAGACAAACACACGTGTTGAACAGATTCTGACCGAATGCCTTTTGTCGGAATACAACCTACGCCCCCTTGTGGCATTCAAATTCTCTAATTCTCACGCAGCCTTCCAATAAATATTACATTCGCGTTCAAAGACAAATTACCGTCCATATATAAGAGCCTATTCAAATTGTCGCTTCTGTTATCAAGTTCGCCATCGGGGCAACGATTTTCTTTTATTTATTACGTAATATACTTTTAAGTTTTCCTTTCTTCTTCAAGAAAATTTCACCATTTTTCAATTCAACTTGTAGCCATTTAATGATGATGGAAAGATAATAAATATGGAGCAAATTATACTTATTTTTTATCTTTATAGCCTCAAACATCCATAGCATTGTATTTTTACTTTTTCTTCTCTTTTACTTGTTTTTCCTTAAGACTTTTGATCTTTGAAAATCTTTTTCTTTGCGTATATCCTCTTTGGATTAATTAGACGCTTATATGAAAAAAATACCGGTTAAATTGTTGACGGAATCGAAATAGACATATCAGAGGAAATAATCAACTTAATGGCGCACACCTGGTCTTTTTCAAAGCAGACATTGCCTCATAAAATATTCTGTCACTCTGTTAAAATTGGCTCTATTCACCCATGCTTGAAAGGGAACATAGTACGATTGTAGTAAGTTTCTCTTTTTCTAAACACTTTAGGGTTAAGTTAACTTTGAGTTGCTAAAGATTTAGATATATAAATATCTAAAAAACAGAGCTGTTTATTATAAAAATGAACTGCATCGCTTAATAACTAACGTTTTTAGTAATGGATTTAACCTTTAGCTGTTTACTTTCCCAAAGCATTGCGGAATGATGGGAAAGAAAAATATTCCATTTTATTCGAACGTTCGACATTCTTTACCCAACTTATCTGTTTATTATAAGCGTTGGGCACATGGCTTTCAATTACGCGCTGTTTGTAAACTACAAACGCCCAATCCTAATAATAGAGCGCACTTTTTCTTCTCTAAAAGACATCAAAAGATCTTTATATTCAAAAGCTACCTGCAATTTCAAACGCCAAACGTTTTTCTTTGAAAGAAAAAGCAGGTTGACATGCGCTAAGAAAAAAGTGGAAAGTTGAATACATGCTTTTGACAGGTACAAAACGAATCGAGTAATTGAGATAATTGCTGTTAATTATACCTAACAGTACGTTTTCACAACGGTTTTCATCTCTTTTATTCTCTTTAAAAAAAAAATATCAGGTGGTCATTAACGGCTTCCAAACAGATGTTTATCTTTTTCGCAACCTTTCGGCATTTTTAACTGCTCGTCGTTAAATTCGTTTGAACGTGATTACATTCACCGCAGTTAATCCCTTAAAATGCCCGCTAATTTTTCTCCCACCACGAGACTAATCCGGATAATTATCGTACGTTCAGGTAATAATCTTAAATTAAGAATTCTAAATCGTCGGAATAAAAAACACTCTAGAGAACTATTTAAATGGAATAAAAACGAAAACAGTTACTGTTTACGTTTCTCCAATAATAGGGAGGTTATTGTTTACATCTTATCATGCGAAGAAGCGGTTAGCGATAGTCTGTTAAGTCACTTAAACTGTAATAAATGTCTCTGATATAGTCAATAAAATATCGATTAGAGGAAAGAGTCTTCTTTTTTTTTCTAAATTGAACAGAATGTAGAATAAAACTTGAAAAAGTAAATAACACAGTCAACGCAAATAATAGATATGATTGATTTTTGGGAACTTATATCATAATCGTAATTGAAGGAAGACGTAATTCAAAACTCTACTGACATAACGTCAAATTAAATAAATTATTAAATATTACATTTCGTTCATTAGACTTTTCTTTTGACAAGGATAACAACAAGAAAAAATACTTTTTACTTTCTTGGACAACATACTTTAGATATTCGTATTGGGAGAAACAACGACATCGGGAAGTGGGTTATCTTCATGTAAATTGCCGCGTGAAGTCGCCAGTAGACAGTTGTCTATTCGGTACGAAGAAACGCCACTCAGCGGTCGATTAACAGTACTAGATGAAGGCGTACTCGCCCAACGTCGTGGGTGAACGCTAGATGGCGGTTTAGAATATTGTACTAAAGCGTATTGAGCGGAGCTCCTATCGGCCGGAAAACATTTCTGGCAAAAAGTCTGCAGGAAAGTTCTTCTGAATTTCTGACCAAAAGCACAATATAAAATAAAATTTATGGACGAATTAACAGTCACTGAAAAGTTCCTAACTGAACTTAAAATTGCCCAATCCATTTCAAATGCTCTTTCATTTGAGGTGATCACGTAGCCAACATTATAGACCATAGCAGGTAGTTGACAAACAATAAATACGACAACAACTGATGCTAACATTATTGTAACATTATTTTCACGATGTTGTCGAACATTCATTGTCTGATGATTTCTAGTAGACTCCCGGACTGCTCGAACAAGAAAGGTGTTGAGAATGGCTAGTACTACTAATGGTATAATGTACATCATTGGTACATAGAGAATGTAGTAGATTCTTTTGTACTTTTCAATATTCAATAAAAGTGCACTAACAGCTTGAAATTTACCATCTTTATAGCCTGGCCGATATTCGAACCATCGTGGTATGTTGTAGAGAGTGGAAGCTAAAGATACGGCACCTATAACAAGTTTAGCTCGCGTTCTGGTACACATACTGGCAGCCCTGAGCGGATGACAAACGGCTATATAACGTTCAACTGTAAAGCTGACCGTTAGATAAATCGTTGCTGTCTGAGAAATAAGAGCAATTGGATAGGTGTAGCTAACAATGAAGGGATGTATTTCCTCCTTGTAAATGGGAATAATTTGCCCAACAGACATGAGTAGAGTGGACATGATGAGCACTATCGAATCCCAAAATGCTAAAGCAGTTAGGAAATGGTTGGTAGACGTTTTCATTGAACGTTGAAAAAGGACAAGAATGGTTAAAATATTTCCAATTAAGCCTGGGCAAACGACAACCACCGTCGCAACACCCTCAAGCCAAAATATGGCCATATTTGTTGCATTTGAATGATTATTGCTAATATTCATTTTCTTCCAGTGTTCTATAAAATGAAAAAAGAAAAGCATTTATTTTACTTTTATCTCAAGAATATTTGTATAAAGTATTTCGAATCATAGCCTGCTCTATAACGCATACAATTACACATATAGCAAACTACTATTTTCCTCGTTTATATACGGTTCAATTGAACCGGAAGTCATCGGAAAAAGCAGGCAGCTGGAAAACTGCAATCTATCAAACGTGTCAATGATTTGTAATTCTCCCTAAACAGAAGTCCAACCAGATCCTACAATGAACAGGAAAAATAATCTCTTATAAGCAAAGAAAATTCCGAAGATCCTTCATCTAGGGACTCTATACAATAGACAACAAAATTGACGTGGAAATTAATTTACTGTTCTCTTATACTATTTGCTAAAAAAATCTGAAAAGTTGTATAAACACGTGATCTGTAACTGACTATGAAAAATAATGCAAATTTTTCTATAGATGAGCTTTTTCATGAGACAACTAGGCAATTTCAATTTTCTCCCTTTTAACTTTTTGATATTTAATAAGAAAAAGTGATCAAGAAAAAGAAAATGGAAGCCCTGAATAAACCTTCACAAAAGTATGTTAGTATCAAAAAGGATAAATATGATATACACTGTATATATATATATATATATATATATATTCGCACATTCAGTTTTCCGTTTTGTTCGTATACAGTTATAGCTTCAACTCTTTAATTACGTGATACACGGATAAAGATTTTAGGAGGTTTTCTTATGTCATACGAGTTGTAATAACTATATTATTATATATCATCTGTAGCCGATTTGTATTTATGTGGGACAACGTTTACTTTTTATGGCTTTTCGATATATCAAATTTTCCTAGCCGTCGATGCAGATCGACGATCTCGTCTCGTATAGTTTGTCTTGCTGTAAGTTATGTTGATTATCGATATAAACGACGCCAGAACGTGTTCGATCGTCCTCCAGAAAAATTATACTTGCAGAGGCGGGTGACAAACGGTTTGTTATTTTTTTCCGCGAAGTCATATAAAACTTATTCCGGTAGAAGATTGTCAGTTGTTTCTTTTTTAGTCGAAGCTACAATGCTTACGACTTTTGTTGTTTTAAGGATACTTCCTTTTATATGCCTCTTTCATATAAACTTTATCATAAGCATATGTATGCTATATATACTTTATAAATGTATATACTGTACATTACATATATATATATGTATATAAATGGAAGGAAGAATTAGATAAATATAAATAATAGAATACATATATACATATATATATAGTATATACAGTATATACAGTATATATATATATATATATATATGTAAAGTATATGCTATATATAATAGTAATAATTGAAAATAGTTTTCAACAGTATATACCACTTCGTTGATTATAAAACTGATAAAAAAAAGTAATTGATTCGAATGACAGACCGTTTGAAGAAAAAGTAAGATTTGGGAGTTTTATTCTCATAAATGGAGATCGTCATCTAAGATTCTGCCAGGATTCCAAAGTTTATCCAAAAAGTGATTTATCCAGGGGAATGCACTAAACGGAAAGCCTTTATTTTTTCTTTCCCTCTCTCGCCAATCACAAGGCTCCTATAAATTTAGGCTAAATGTGTTTTTTTACCCTAACAAACGGAAAGTGTAATAACTGAGTCCTTACAAGACAGCCGTAAAAAAATCCAAAAGTTCAACTGAGGTTACCAGACGTAATGAAGTTCTTTATTAGACTTTTTAACAAAATAGAAGCGGTAGCCTTTTCTAAGCTCAATCTTTGCGTTTTCTTTCATCTTGTTCCATCATATAAGCCTTAGAGGCAGTGTAAAAAAAAAAAGAAATAGAGATTCTTACCGTCCAGTATGTTGTCTATAAATTGAATAATTTATTTAAGATGAGTTGAAATGGACCGAACGTCTTCTTTCGTGAACCTCCTAGGACCTACTTCCGTCTTGGAGACAAACGAAAAATACAAACAAACGTTCTTCTCTTTTTGATACGATCTGGGTTAGATATATTTTCCACTTTGACGCATTTTTCGAACAGGTGGCGTTGCATGCAAATGTATAAATTAAAGTTTTTCAACTTGTATATTTAGTACATGTATTTAATATTTTGAATTTATTAAAATAGAGATACTAATTATCTTCTTTTAATTATAACAATGATATAAAAAGTAATTAATAGTCATTTATCATTTTATCCGTACTAAAAGACATATAGAGGTATACGCAATCATTAAAATGTTTATTTGTTTACATCACCAGTTAATTTGTTTGTTCATAGGCGCAACTGTTAATTAAGAATTTCTTTTCTTGCATCATTCTACTTTTTTAGTCATACGTTTTTCTAACGTGACATTTAAAAAAACATTTATAGAAAAAAGAAATCTGTGCCGGGGCTATATATAACTTAAATTTATTGTAAGAAAACTGCAAAAATACATTAAAGTATAAGAATTATTTTTATCATTTTATTTATAATAATAACATAGGTCATTATTTAAGTATTCACACTTAATTTTTGTTTATTTATATAAATAAGCATGTTAAAAAAATTGATATATACACTATCAATATAATTACTATTTTTTGTATAGTATTGCACTTATTTCAATAGCTGTATATACAAAACTTTTATAGTTTATTCCGATCGTTTATTAGAAAGTTCAATAGCATTTTAGCTATTTATCGACATTACATGCAGCGTTTATTATGCGATGAAACGGATGCATTGAAATATGAATAAAAATGTATATATGTATAGTATTTTTATATGTTATACATTGTATGTATAGCCAGTACAAGTGCATAACGACATATATGCCGTCACGAGTTATATTTATCTATAATAATATATATATATATATATATATGTATATTTATGTATTTATATATTAAATTCGTTTGTATGTACTTTTACAGTTCCTATTTATTGAGGTATATAAATAGTGTACACATAGGAAAAGCAGTCGTTTGAAAAAGCCTATCTTATTACGTGTGTTGAAAGATAGAATGATGTGATTAACAGAGATGTTACGATTTCACACATGTAAAGCGTCCATCTTTATCTCGTGTTTTGTTTACTTAACGTCAGTCGGTGTATATCCTTTAAACGTCCGTGCGTTTATAATTGATAAATGAGTCTTACCAGCGGCAGTAAAACCAACCATAGCGATAATAATTTGACCAGACGTACTCCATAGAAAAAGAAAACTGGAGAATTCAGTACTCTGATTATAAAAATATCTGGAAATAGTGTAAGAAAAGATGATGACAACTTTGTGTGTATGTGTGTCGTCGTTGGGAAAAACGAATTCTGTGTCCTGTCAAAAATATATACATAATTTCGATTTGCTGTCAAATTCGTGAAAAAAGGGAGATTCTTCAAATTCTGCATAAAGAGAGTTAAGTTGACCAAAACTACGCCGGACAAATCAATGCTAGAAGAAGGGTGTAACTTAATTAGGATGCTAACGAAAGGAGTACGTCAACGGTAATTATTATATATCAAGGCAAATAATCAACTCATAATCATATGGGCCTCACAATACCGTTGACTTATTAGCCTCTTTTTTTATATAAAATCATTTTTTAGTCGATAAGATCCCAGTCAACACTACATAACGAAAATAAGGTCAAGAGTTACGCATTTTTTGTAGACTTTCAGTCTATAGTACCACTCTTTCGCAGATCTATAAGGATAGATGTCATTTCCTATATTATATAAGATGTAAGTGTTCGTTACGAAGAAGAGCAATTTTAAAAGTATACTTTTTTAGACAAATCTGCATAATGTGGTACTTAACATCTTTAATGGGTACCTTTTTTCATAAAAAAAAGCTTTCTTCCTTAAAGTAAATTTTAAAAACGGATGAAAATAGTTTTATTAATGTTTTATGGAAATTTATTTTTGTAATTAATTAAGCATTAAGCGTGAGGGACAAGAATTATATAAAAAACAATGTTGGTCAATGAAAGGCAGGTATGAGGGTATGTGGTACAAATAAAACAGTATGTCCTGTACTGGTATTCTCGTTTTGATACAATATACAGTATATGTTATATACTTTATATATATATATATATGAAATGAATTTATTCTTAGCTATAATATGTATGTAAACCATGTATGTATGTATACATGCATACAGTATGTATATATCACCTGCAAGCGTATTGATCAGATAGAAATTTATCAATAAATTAGTTTGTAAGTCTTCAGAAACAGAGAAGGATACAGGTGTTGAACGGCGATGCGTGATGAGAATGTATGCAGGTGCCCGGGACATTGATTCGACAAACAGTATCATGTATAGACCGATTAATCGAGCGCATCTTGCATGGTTTGAAGAGACGTAGGAGAGTTTGGGGCAAGATTCGAAATCGAAACTGATAAATATTTATTGAAGGATTCTCAAATGAGCATCATTCGCTGTATGGAGGCGTTGACGAATTTGATTTCTTGTTATTATGTAATCGTAGTAAAGCGCTTTTTATAGTGACCATATAAATCCTCCCTGTACGAGAATTTATTCTCAACGAACTATTTACCGTAATTATTAAGTGATTTACAAAATTTTCCAATGACATCTTGTTAACTTTTATACGTAAGAGTTACAGTTGGAAAATTGTTTTTTTTTCTTTTTTTTTTGTAAACTAAAGCTATTAAATTGATTGCTGATATTTCCTAATTTATGATTTTTTTCCTTTCAAAATAAAACGCTTTCGTTCGGTTTTTTTTACCAGATTATCGACAGAGGGAAAATCTAGTAATGATTTTTACTTTGTTGCACCCCTGGGCGTATCTCTTTTTTTTTTGTATAGTTTATATTAATTAATTTCCTTCTCATTTTTTTAATATATCGACGAAATAAGGCGCAAATTTATCAATAAGGGTTTAAGAGTTAAATTTTTTAGTTAATGTTTAACTTATGATAACAAATTAATAGAAAAATAATTAAATAGGATTTTATTACATTATAAGTCAATAGAGACGAAAATACTGTACTTTGAAAAAAACTTTATCTATCTAATTAAACCAGATATTTAACTAATTTCATTAGAGATTATATAAAAAAAATTTTTCGCTTTTCCGGCCCTATTTGACTCAAGAGACCCTTTTCTGGAGGGCATTCTGGTTCTTGTAAATGTGAGCAAAAAAAATTGAGAATATTTGAATTGCACAAATTGTTTTCCATTTTTCGCAAACAAATCTATTCTAGATTTTCTATAAACATTAATATACAGTATTTTTATACTTGGGGAAAATTATTTTCTTATTAACATACATGTATTATATATTCTATAAAATAGAATAAGAAACTGCTTAGCTATTTGCTTTTTATAAAGAACTTTAACAAATAAACATTTCTCATTACCTAGAAATGTTGGCTCAAGAAATTAAGTTACCGTTACGGATAAAACCGATAAACATAAGTCTGTATAGTCAATACAGCATAATATTTTTTTAGTGAAAAGGGACGCCCTTTGAAGTAATACGTTGCTAAGGATAACTAAAGACATTTACGTTTTCAATAATGACGCCTCAAAAAAAATTTTATTGAATTATTAATGACAGCTTGAAGAATAATCGACTATATAAGTCCTAAAAAGATCATGTACTAACGTTGACTGTCTATAATTAATGCACTTATATTATTAATTAGATACCAAAAGAATATCAAGAGTGGGCTATAATATAAGAAGTAGGGGAGGAAGATTCAACTTTATAAAAGTAATGATTCTGTACTATGATATATACTTTAGCAAATTGTGGTCGAATATCCTTCAGCTGCAGAAGCTTATTCTAAAATAGATTGATCATTATTACACATCATTTATTAGATATCATAATTCACAATGAACCTTACTATGACCCCTGATTGGTATCCATTTATTAACATCTCAATGAATATTACATAATTGTAAGGTTAAGCTACACTTTCACTAACAACTGTAATTCTTATACAAATTATAGACTTTATAAATGAGTGAATATATATATATATATATACGAATATAAAGTATAAGTAAGAACATCCATATATTCCAAGACTTTTCCATAAAGTATACCCTAGAAAGAATATATAGTAGAATATACTGTGTGAGCTATTACAAAGACATTTTTTGTTAAAAGGTTATAATAGGAAATATATGTAGTCTTCAATAATTTTGCAATTATTTATCGAATATTTCTCGATAAGCAGCTGCGGAACTATTGCATTAAGACAAATCTAACGCCATCTACGCTATGAGAGGAGAATTATTATTAGCCGGCAAATTGATAAATTGCTATTCAATATTTGTCTAAAACACTGAAAATAAGCTGAAACATCTAAAAATAATTGTATTCTGAAAACTTTAACTTCTAAGAAATACGTCATTAATGGCTTTTTTTCTTTTCAATCAAGAGACGATTTCAGAAATGATTTGCTTCTCGCATGATAAAATTTAATTATCTAATTACTGAAACATTTCTACTCGGAATACGGAAGTGGACCTGGTCAGTGATTTTTCTTGTGATATTGTATAGGCAGTATATATAAATTATATATATAAAATATCCTAATATATACAAATAGTAATACATAAAATCTGTACGTAGGATTCTAAACATATTATTTGTTTTGCATCAAAGTACAATATTTACTTTAAACAGTTTATTATGTCGAATATGGCATGTTTCCTTTAGTGTAAAATTGGTAAAGTTTTATCAGCAACAGTAAAATGATATAATGTTATGATTAGCAAGAGTTTCAAACGAAGAGAATATCTTGAAGTGTAAGAAAAATTACAGTCTGAAATAGTATATATATATAAGCCAGAAAAGGCTTCTATTTTCGAGTTAATGACCCATTTTGCTTTCCTGTTTATTCAAATTTTACGACGTTATTTATCATTAGTAAACCGTCACTGCCTTAGGTAATGAATGATTTTTTTCTCAATCTTAACTCGAACTTGATCATTTATCAAAATTAAAGAAAAATTGGAAATTTATTTATAGAATTTCGCGTAGGCTCACTATCTTAGACATTAGTTTTTATTGTTTTAAAAACCCATATCACATTCGCAAACATAAGTTTTTGATAAGAAGATAAGATTAAGAAAAAGACTTGAACTATACATTTTGTTATTTAATCAATCTTTAAATTCATTAATAAAAAACTAACGGAAGTTATTATGCTAATCAATTGTGTAATTTTTTTATTTAATTATGCAAATATTACTATAATAAGGAAAGTTTATAAAGAAAAAAAATCCATATAATTAAAAACTTTCTCACGAAAAGTACAGACATTAACAATAATTATTCGATTCATTAATGAATGAACTGAGCAATGCTTCATTCTGCCGTTGAAGCATTTTCATTGGTATAGATGTTGAAAAGCGCCATCTAAAGTAAATAAGTGAAATACACTCTGTGAAAGTCTAATTATGAAATCTAACTAAATGGATGTACAGTGCAAGGATTAAACAGTACGTATTGTTAATTAGAATTCCTACTAGTGTAGTTATTCATAGATCAATTTGATTTGCTGTTAGAGAATTGTATTCCTCAGAGAATATTTAAAACAGTTCTATATATTTTTAGATAGTAAGAAGTAAGATAAGTTATGAATGATTCGATAGATCATATTTTACTAAAAGTAGTTCCAATCCATTTTTTTTTGTTACAGAATATACGAAGATATTAGTGCTTTCGAATATTTCACTATATAACATCTCAATAAACATTTAAGTAGTTCGATTTTGGTGATTATTGTATACTATATAGAAAAAGAAAATATATAGGAGTAATCGATCGATTCTCTAGCCAATAGGCGTCAAGATTTCTCTTTTAGGCCTGCAGCATATTTACAAGCTTATCGAGGAATGTTTCAATGCGTTGTTGCTTTGCTCATCTCTCTTCTACTTCTTATTAGTTCTGAAGATTGTCCCCATAGAAATTATTACGATTCATTATGGAGCTTCTACAATAGATCAACGCAAATCATTGTGGTTGGACGAACTTACAGCGAGCTCAAACGGACCCCTAACACGCCGGTGTCCCGAATTTTCATCAAGACCATTGGAAATAATGAACTTAATATAGGTCAGAAAACTACTACTTGGATTAATGTTGAAATCAATTCTAATGAATTGTGTAAAAATCGATTACATAATAACACCAAATATATAAAAAAGAACAAAACTTATATATGGTATCTAAAAGCAAGCAAACGACCGCAAGAAAATATAGCCTTTCATGAGGCGTCAGCCTTTCCTGATTCGATACGAAACCGTAAAGTAGTCAATGCTCTAAAAAAAGCCACGTGTTCCAGATCAAAATGCGATGGTAAGTTTTTCACCCTTCAGACTAAATCAGATTTAATTTTTCGTTACGGTCGTCTCTCTTCTATCGATTACTTATAGCCGTCTCCCTGACGACTGTTTAATTTATTGCAGCAAGGCTACCAAACGATCCTACGATCACAGCATCCTTCAAACGAAACAATCTGCATATCAACTGCAAAATCGACGGCGGCTATCCCAAAGCGGCAGCCTTGTTTATGAAAGATGGAAGACCCTTAAGAAAGGGTCATGTTCGTTATAAGAGGTAAACAGTTTCAAAGCCTCACACGTCTGATTAAGCATCTAATCGCTAATTATTAACCGTGAAGAAACTCATGTATACTCCTATTTATACAAATATACAGTAGACAGTCTATATTTATAGGTGTAAATATAGTATATACAATAGAATATAGAATAGTCAACATTTGCACATATATATATATATTGTTTTTTCAACATGCGTGTGTAGAATTGTTTAACAGTAAGTGTAAGGCACATGGTATATTGATCGACTGCAATCTTCTATTCACGTAAGGATCACATACACACATAAAAACATCCTAACAGCTATACACACACCCTCACACAAAAGATCATCAACAAAATTAAACCTTCATGGAATGCACTCTTTTTTTATTAATCCAATAATAGAAATTCAAATGATACCAGAAAGAAAAAAAATAGGTCTTGATAGATGAATACGAAATTGAACTCGTCCCTTGGGCCTTTTAGGCCTGTTTTGGTAGTAGAACGGCAAGTAGATAAACCAATGACAAAACAATTTTACCCTTACAGTATACCAATATTGTATAACAATAAAGTACAAAAGTAAAGAATCTGTAGGAATACAATACACATATATAAACAAATATTAAAGTATTATTAAATAGAAATATTCCTATATCAAAACGTTAAGGTTCTCTTAAAAAAAAAGTCAATATATTAAAATTCTGACTTGAATATTAAATAGGCTAATTTGCGTACTTTCTTTTATTGAAAAATATCGTGCAAGCTTTATTCGTAGGATAAAGATATTAGTAGCTTTTTTCTTTAAAAAAAAAATCAATACGTTCATTCTTGAAAAAAGAAGACTAACCACATAAACATTTAGATTTTCGTACGAAAATATAAAAGTGATTGTCAAACGAAGCTGCTTTTATTGCCATTGTAAAGATAGAATATAAGAATATATTACTATGAATTGAAAGAATTTAAATTGTAAAGAATACAAAACATGAATTTATCGCCAAGTCTATGATTTTCTACAGGAATGGTATTACTCTGCGCATTCAAGATCGAAAAGAGGATGACAGCGGGATATATACATGTAAAGTGTTCAATGTAGCAGGATCTCGTACGAAAACAGTTACAGTTCCAAGAAACAAAAAACCAGTCGTAAAACCTAGTAAGTAGCCTCCTGTGTATATTCAGTTGTACCTCATGTGTTTTTTTACCAACAATGATTGCAATATGATATTAATACGCGCTTAAAGATTTTGCTGATGATGAGCATATATCACAATTACACATAGATGGGATAAAGCCTATCTAAGCATAACAATAATCCTTTTAATCGCTAAGCTTTTCATTGTTTTACCTATCCTTTCGCAGAGATTCGGAAGATTCGAGCACAAATACCTAATAAAAGCGGTTTGTTCTGATTTTATTTCCGCTGTACTTTGTTTTTTTCATTGATATTAGCAAGAAAGAGCTTTCTTTGTGTTGATAGATCCCTTTTACCCAATTTATTGATATTTTCCAGCTAAATTTTTCTAATTTTGCTTCACTTTCCTTTTTCTTTTACATAAATAGCTGACAGCAGTACTGCTCCCACAACTGAAATGGTATCCATTTCAAGTATCTCGCCTTCTGGTCTGTCACCAAACGCCAGGGTGGAACACTGCAAAATACAGTCTTTCTGTCTAAATGGAGGTGTCTGCTATAACATACCTTCTATACATATGCGATTTTGCAGGTACGTTATAGAATCTTTTAAGAGGAACACTAAGTAAAAGAAAAACTAGTCTACTATTAATAATACTAATAAGACGTATACTAATGCTAATAACATTAGTATTTTAATTTACTTAATAACTATTATTTTACAATAAGTCAGTACTCTTCCAGATGTATTTGTCTAATTATTGTATCATCAAACAATTCTATTGTACTCATAAAGAGGATAATGAAACAAATGAGAAAAAAACCCTCTAACAAGGAAACTGGCTGTAATATTACAAAGAACAGAAAAAAACGTCGACAATCGATCCATTATGCAAAAGGGACAACGAGTTAGAACTGCGTTTAAATATTTTATATCCACAAGCGAGCTCAATTGTTTAGGAACGCGACGCGTTTCCAAAGAGCTTAGTAACACACATAAATTAGATATGAGCGTAAAAAATTTCCATACAAAATTATCAAACCACTAAATCTAAAATTATTTGTATCTAATTGAATTGACTATTGATCTTAGAATGGTAGATGCTACTATAAAACGACATTCAAGAAAATCTTGTACTGTTCTTTGGCCTTATTTTTTATTGACTTTATTGTTATTCTGTCAATTTTTATTGAAAAATTACTCATTTTCATTCGCTTAAGAGCTTATATTACACTTTCTAGCTATGAGCTTATAGAATGAAGGAAGTTTTATAATTTCAGAAGGGTTAGATGTATAAACAAGAAATTCTACCTTTCAGAAATAAAACAATAATTACTTTAAATAAAAGAAAATAGATAAAATTCACTTATGTTCTTCACCTTATAACAAAAAAAAACAGAAATCAATTAATTTTCTACAGTATGAAAATATCAAGCGAACATAAAAAGAACTGAAAGCAAACATGCAATAGATAAAAGTAATTTTTAATTTACAATAATTTATCTAATACTCAAATTATTCGTTGTATATAAAACAGATTATAATTAATTGTATCCTTTTACAACAGTTTCAAAATTATTGATTTTAACCATAAATATAGATGTTGTAAAGTATGTGACTAAGGCAAAAACAAATTGTTACGAGTATTAGAGAAATCCCTTGTCGTTTGACAATTAATCCCATTAAAAAGTATTATTAATAACTTATTTAATTCGGTTTTTATTTCTTTGTTCAGATGTAAGGAGGACTATGTAGGATATAGATGTCAATTTCCATTCCCTGAAGGAATGATTGGCAAGATAGCAGGTAATCTTAGACGCTATTTGACAAATCATCACATGGAAATAATAATTAAAATTTATTAATTTTGTACAGAACAACAAAAATTAGAGACAGATAGAGTGATCACCCGTGTTATTTTGGCTGGTATAGTTCTTCTTCTCATTATGGTCATCCTACTCGCTTTTTTTATGAGATGCTTCCATAAATCGCAAAGAAAACGCTTCATGAGGTATAAACAAGAATTAAATGCAAAGGAACCTCTTGTTCAGAATCACAACTCGCTAAACGTAATTAATTTTTCTTGTATAATTACATAATTTATTTATTCTTTATCTTTTCTCTTCTTCTAAACAAAGATACAATACCAAACTCCTACAAATGTACACAGTATAGGGGTCCAAACAGATCCATCCTTGGACCCTAGTCTATTAGCAAGACAAGGAAATAAATATGATGAATTTAATGAAGATTGTATAGCAGAATCTCAAGATTCGACGGATAAACGTCAAGGAATTTTCTTTTCACCCTAGAAGATAGAAGAAGAATTACGAAATTTGATATATATGCAACAACAACAAAATCTAATAGCACACAATTTTTTACAGTATACTCTTCTTTATACTGTATGTTAACATTTATAAAGTAAAAAAAAATGTCAGAAATTCAACGGCTAGTAGTTAAAAGTTCTATTGAAAGATACTTTAGTAATTTTATTATTATAAAGAATTTTTTTTCTATCTTTTAAAAGGTTAAACGTTGATTACACGTTAACAATGAAAATTAAAAATGTTATCTATTGGCTTACTTAGAATTAGAGGACTTGAGTCATAAGGAAAGGAATTTGTAAATTCCCTAAACGTATGACCCTCCATCGCCTCTGCCTCCCACTCAGTCTTTTTATTTTTCCCCCCACACAGGCCTTCTCTTACCCGCAAAAATACAAGCCTTTCCGTTGATATTGATATTCTTTTTATTATTACTTCTAAGGTCCCAACAATGCACACCTAACCCTGAATTCAAATAGATATTAACCTATTTTTATTTGAATCATTCCGTCCTGAATTTGTATATCTAAATATTTATTATAAGTCTTTTGCTTTCTATTTACATTCCCATATGAATAAGAAATTGGATTGCCTAAGTATATTAATTAACCTGTATATATTAAATATAATATATTACATATATGCCTACATAGAAATAAAAAATTTCTGTACTTTCCCCAAGATAAATCATTAAATATATTACTCAAATGATAAAAGACTATAAATTTTCTCTAAAAATGTGTCTATTCTTCTTTATTATTTTCTTCTATTACAATAGAACTGTTATTATTAATATCAATTATTAATATTGAATTATTACTATATAAATAAAGCTATATATCATCGCAGTTTGCTAATTTTCCATTAAAAAAATAACTAAACGTTACCGATTACAAGTGAAAAGAGATAGCTTCGTACTTTTTTGTTTTTTTTTTTTACTTTACAAAGAACTCTATGTTCTATTGTTACTGCTAGATAAAAAGCATCAATTTTTTTTCAGTATATAGGCAATAAGAAAGTCGATAATTATGGTCAGATTTACTTAAGCGTACTTAATTAGTTTACCAAACAACAAAAGCATCAAATCGAAATTTCTGATCGATAGATATAAAATTTATCAAGCTAATTTCCTCTACTACTATTTTTTAAAGGAGGGAAAAAGGAGCAATCTCTTAAGGAACATATAGTTATCCATTTAGGGAAGGAAGAGTGGCTTGCTATTAACTTTTTTTTTGTACAACAATATATCTAAATTGTCGTAAATTTTCCTTTTTTTTTATATTTCTACAGCTGAAAATGGCAAGATAGCGGAACTTATCAAAAAAAAATATGTATATCTAAGCATTTATAGCAATTATTTATATTACTTTTACAATATATAGCAATTTCGTATAGTATTAACTAAAACACGTATGTTCAACCTTTATTATCTTTACTATGTGAAGATAGAGGGCCTTTGAACAGTCTTCTAACGCCATCTACCGTTTAAATATGACATTACAAATTTCCGTCGTTATTAAACGAGCTCAGAGCAGCTGATAAAAGCAATTGTTAATGATTTTGCGTTTTAAGTGTAATTGTGAAAAGAAGCAAAAATGGGGGAAAATAGAATACAATGTATAAGGTAAAGTTCTTGATAGAGTTTTTCATTGAAGATAACCTTTAAATCACACAAAAAGATTGGTTTTGTTTGGTTTGCAACTATCCGAATATTCCAATTTTGGCGATGCTTGCTTATCGGTTTCTATAGTTACTTGAAAATTCAATTGAACAGAAGTCTTATGTTCAGCAGATTTCTCATTAGCAGTTTTTTCTCTGTTTTTGTCATATTCTTGCTCTGGAAGAGAGTCGTCGTCGTCGTCGTCGTCGTCCTTTTCTAAAAAATTAAATAATAAGGTTTAACAAACTTTTTATGATAAAGTATTAACAAAGATTATCAAAGTTGTTAATTATTGTGGTTGTTTGTCACCATCAGACATGAAACGATACATTTAATAAGCTGTTAAATATTATTTACCTTCTTTCACCTCTACACTTTCCGGACTACTGTCATTTTCATCCTTTAATATTTCATCAATAGTATATTTCGTTATATGTCTTCTTTTGGTGGCTGGAGGACCTTGCTTTTTATAAGAAGAAGATGAAGGTAGAAATAAGCTTGGCTGGTGGCTCCAGTAAAAAGGGGTTACGTAATGTGGAAGAACGGGAAAAGGATTAAACGTCGATGTTGAACTTTGGGTTAACTGCAAGCTATGGTTCGAATCGTTGCTCCCCGACATTGAAGTAGCGTTTCTTAATATTCTATTTATAGAACTAACGCTTGGAGCCGACTGTTCGTCACAAATCCTTTCTTTCAGCAATACATCACGAATTTCCCAGGCAAATAACGATGGATTCTCCTCCTTTATTTTCATTATACGTCGAACTATTATTGGTGTCGCAACATGCTGTTTGATTGATTAAAGGAAATATAAACAAATGTTTATCATATTCAAAATTTTTATTAAAAAAATTGACATTTGACAAACCTTATTCTTATTCCCGCCAATTGAACCAGGTTTTATGCTACCCGTCTCATAGTACCTCGTTAAAATTTTACTAACGCAGCCATGAGAAACAAGTAACTGTCTTGAAATGTCACATGGTCTAACACCCATTAACGCCATTTCTACAATCCTTCTTCGAACTTGTGTCGGAAGAGGTCGGCCATTAACGAAGACACCGCCCAATTGGTTGACACCGGTTTGCCCTGGAATACGATAATTCAGTCATTCAAATAAACAAAGATAAATGGCGCACGAAAAAGAATTCAATATCAAAGAAAGCGCTGGTCATTGAAGCATCTTTTAAGTTTCATCTTTCCTTATAAACTGCCCTCTGGCTACTTGACTGCTGTTTATAGATACAATATGGTTGAATTTAAGAACGTATGCTATCGGATCGATTAGTTATTCGATATTGTTCAGGTGCGTCTCCCCTCCTTATAAATAAACGGTGAAAGGATTCACTTTTTTAAACGTTAATGCAATTGAAAGGGGCACGTGCAACTAAACGCCATTTTATGCCGCACCGTTTCAACAGATAATTTTCTTGAAAAATAGACGTCCGGCAAACAAGCACTTTTCGTCTTTCATGTTGTGAATGATTATGTCTACTTTGACAACATAATTGCATTGAAATTTCTTAATATTGACGCAGCGTGTGCGTATATGCGTAAATACGTGCTCCATTTGTGATCGTTGCGGTTGTTCACTTTAAACTTGGTTATCAAAATTCGACAAAAGAGACAATAGAATTAAATTTAACTAGCTATAATTATTTTTCTTTTTCTTTATTCATTTAAACTAATTGAAGCCTATTTGTTTCAATTTAATGTAACTAAGCTTTTCCATATTGTTTACATTAATCCATCAAATTTTGTTACTTTGTATTTAGAAAGGATACAAAATAGCGTTTATCAGAATAAATCCAATAGAAGCTATGACCCTTTAATCTTAAAACTCTTTTGTAGCAAAAAAGCATAAAATCATAGAATAATAATTATTTGAAACAAATCTCTCTCTCAAGGGAATTGTTATTTTACAGTCACTTTTTCATATCTAATTAATTAAAAGAACAAAAAGAGCAACTAAGACATTGTTTTCTAAAAAAAGGGAAATAAATTTAAGTAACAGTCTTACAAGTAAATTTGCTTTGAAAAGTCTCCAACGTGATGAAATAAATGCTAAAATCTTATCTACATAGTTGGAATATAAGATAGTCTTCTCTTACAATATTGAAATATGAAGAATTATTCATGAACTATTTAAAGTAACCGTTAAATAATACGAATCTAGAAACAGGATTTTAATATGGTGTACTAACCAGTATGAGGCATGGCAACACGTCCGGACTTCATTGATTTCCAAAGCTCACTGTTAAAGTCAAATCAAGACGCGTGCCGTAGGCGGTGAAACTCGTAGCTCCGCCCCTGCCCTGATTAACAACCAATGAGCTCGCTTTGCGGATCGTCTGAACAGTTTTCCTTTTTTTACTTAATCTATGTCATCACTATTCTTTGTATAAATATACGACAATTTCGCCTGATTCAATTTTGTTTAAATAAAAAATTGATAATAGGGTAATAGAATAATTAATCTCCGGCAATGTCGAAGAGATGCTGAAACAAAAAAGATAAATTGAACGACGATTAGTGTCGAACATATTATTTACGCTGCTCAATTTATATTTTAAATCGGTTAATGAAGGAAAGACGATGACAGGAGGCAAGGACACGCAAGAGACCATAATCTCTACATCTCCTTAAGTGGCGCCATGTACATTCCAGAGACGTCCGTAGGAGAAACCCTACTGTGAGGAGTCAACTTTCGTATCCGTACACCTACAACTAACCTTTCTTCAATGCGTTAAACTTGAGCGTAATATTCCCTAAAACTGCTGGGTTATACTGTAAACATTTTCTTCGCACTTTTCCGTTCGAATAAATCGGCTGGCAAATCGATTATATTAGGAAAGTGAAAATTGTAGTTAATAAAACAACACGCAGAACACCAGTTCAAACGTCATCTCCCAGCTTGCTTTTCGTGTAGTGAAGCTCTCGGTCGGGCATTTGAATAGTCGAGTTGAGCTCGAGTGACTCGCGATGACTCGAGAATACGTTGTTGATAACGACTTGAATTAGAAGTCTGCAGATAATCACGTAACGGCCCAATGACGTCACGCATATTTTGTAAGCGCTTTAATAGTGAACTGTATTGTGTAAATATATATAAAGGAAAGAGGGCTCTTCAGAATATTAATCAGTTTTAAATATGAAAATTTTCACTTGTAATTAATACGTATATATTTCAAAGATCGTTTGGTGTTCAGAGCTCAATATAGCGAAACAAAAGAGCTGAAGGCGTATCGAGCAAACCGCAGGTGAAAACGAGGGCAGCAAACGGAAGCGGTGGCGCACAATTATAGCGAGAGAGGGAATGAATGACTGAGAGGAACAGCTTGCCTTATTTCCGGTCGCTACCGCAATATACATAGGCGCAGCAACCGTGTTCGGTCGTTGTGGAAAATCAGAACTTGCTTGATGATGACATTGCTTGACGTGCATACAAGGCAGGTGCTTTTCGCACGCCATTCATCCCTTCTTTTTGCTTTTCAACATATTTATTCGATGTATATAAAAGTATAGAGTAGGACTATGATGTTATCATTTGTTGTTTTAGATAAATTTCTGCCAATAGTTGAATAAAATTACTTCCTCGTTATAATTACTTCGGGGAGTTCTATATAATTTATATCTTCAGGTAAAATTTTCGGGCATTTGCTTTTTCATTCATAGAATAATTATTTTTCTTTTATATATTAAGACTTACATTTGTACTGATAAATAAATTATTTAAATACAATATTTCATATAGATATCATACCAACTATGGTAAAAACAATATTGAAATTATAACAATTCGCTACACTACAGAGGTTTAGCGTCTTACGAAAGCACTACTTATTAATTATTTACATATTTTAGAGATTTAAAAAGTTACATCTATTAGAATAGATAAAGGTCATATTGTTGGTATAAAAAACTAATAAATCATGAATATGCATAAATGAATATCTTATCATAAATAAGATTTTTCTTTATTTATTAAAAACGTTAAGTTCATTTCGAATAGACTGCATACCTATCGAAAAAAGGTTAAGAAAGAAATGGTGGTTATCGCGCATACATCGCTCAATTCCAATGAAATTTATTCAAATTAGCCTCTTGTCATGTAAACTGTAGATGAATCAATCTGATACGTTTGCAAAACTTTGAAAAGAACTGACCATTTGAAAGACAATGAATTATTTACGAAATAAAATACAAATTGATATATAATTTATCAATTGTTTAAATAAACAGCACTCTCCGACATCTAGCGCCAGTAAATAGTGTAGGTGGTTTAACGGTTCAGTGATAGTAACGCTTAGTCTTTTGTTAGAAAAGAAAAAAAAACTTTTTTCTAATAGATAGCGCCATCTCCTGTGCTTTTCAATAATAGTCATGCAGATGGAGTAATGAAACACATCTCTCCGTCCAAATTCTAAAGGCTAAGAAATGTATAAGAAGTGCCTACCCGAGCAAATAATGAATAATTTTTGAAAAAAGAAATATTATATAAGTTAATCTACTTAGGCGTAACAAATAAGTATTGAAATGCTAAAATATCTAGGAAGGTATTTCTTTGTATTGGCGTCTTTTGCTGTACAACTACGTGCTTATAAATAAATATAGGATTCCGCATTAGTCGTCATTATAACACCAGCTCCTTAAACCGTATTTATCAAAAAAAAAAAACTCTGCCAAGATATTGTTTACGTTTCAAAACATTCTTTAGAAACCTGACTAGGGGAAAAAATTAACTTTCTGGATGAATAATCCTAATAATATGATTCTATAAGCTCATCAAGTAATACGAGCTTTATTATATAATTTGTATAAACTATTTTATCAGATAGTTTGTTTTTATGATGGAATTATATGGATGATACTGTTTCATTTCAAAAGAAACATAATAAATTATGTATTATATAGAAGAAGCCTTTATAAAAACATCTTTTAGTTTTACTTCTCCATTATAAATTATGAAATGATTTTTATTAATAAAGAAAAAACCCTAGTGGATAATATAAAAGAGGATTATGTATATTTTTTTAGTTAATTATTTATATACCAATTATCGTGAATTTCTATTTTAAATATAGTAAATAACAAGCCATTTAGATTGTTTTATATTCTTTTTATAACTGCTTCTCAATCGTAAAAAATACTTTCTGTTTAATTCATCTTTTTTATGTTATTTAATTCTAATTTGAGTCTATCAGAAGAAAAAGCCGATTGCTAAATTACCGTATTCTATGGTAAAGCCGCTTAAAAATTTTTCGATTAAAATTTAACGAGAACAGAGACTCAAACGAAGAAAACCAGAGTTTAATATGTATACCAATAGATCCATCCTTTTTAACCTGCAGATGGCGTTTCTTATTTACTTTTCAAATGATACTGTCGCAGTAGTAACTATTTTATATAACTGATTTTGTCTATATCTAATACAGTATATTCGTGCCGAAACGGCTTATTTTTTGCGATTGATTGACATTGTATATTGTATCAATTGATGATAAAGACTCATATGTTTAATTCATATGGAATAGTATATTTCAAATAGACATCAATTGCCTTTAGCTAAATGATATAAATGAAAGTAATTTATAATACCTTTGCCATGATACTTCAAGCATTTTAGCTCGAAATATCAAAGGTAAAGTAAAGCTACAAGTATCTAAATTACATCTCTATCTCACATATACATCGCAATTCTTCTATAAAAATATTTACACATTAAACGAGTCTAATCTGTCAAAATTGAGTCTTATGAGAAAAGAGAATATTTAAGAAATCTTCATCATCTCTTCAGTAAGGATTACAAGGAAAATAGATTATAGATTTAATCTGTTAAATCTTTATATTAGTAAGGTTTTAAGTCAAGTTATTAACTGCGTACAGCTTAATTCCTATATATCTTTGCTAATAATTTTTTTACAGCCTTTTAATTGGGATTTTATTCCAATGAATTGAGGTTTTTTTTTAGATGTGATGTGATCGCCAGAAAGTAAATGAAAGCAAATCAGAGCAAATCACGGAAGACATTGTAAATAAATAATGACTTCATTTCCCGACAGCTCTGTATGATGAAAGAAGCACAGAGACGCCGCTATACTCTATAGAAATATGCTATTTTTATAGACGCTCGTTTCTTTATTTAAAAATAAATAGAAGAACAAACAAGTCGAAAGAATGAATTTTATCTATAGTTTTTAAATATTCCATCTTTTTTCATAAAGGACTTTAGTTTATCTCAAATTTATATTAGCACATTAAGCGCAGATGTTTTTCTATCGTTTTCTAAAGAAAATAGCTTCAAAAGAAAAGGAAAAGGGCAAGGACGTAACGGAGAAATTTGAGCGATTCTTAGATACTCTTCGCCTAATCTGGTAATTGAAAGTCAAGCTAAACGCGTGCAACCACATTATCGTATTACTGAGACAATAGATAGATGAGTGGTAATGGGTTAAATTGCTTGTCAATTAAATAGTACAATTACGTAATTGTTGACTTGAAGTCTTTGACGTCATCAAATCATCCAAGCGAAATAACCTAAACAAAAACTTTATTCTATAAGAAAGGGGTGAATGACTAAAACAATAAAAACTTAATTTAGGAAAAGTGACGCTTTCAAGGTGCATTAGGTCAAATATACTTCAACATGCAATATAAAGATTGTCAAAAGCTTGAACTATAAATTTAAAGACCAAGAAAGGAATAAAGGAAAGAAAAACTATTAAGAGTCTATATATTTTCATTATTTAGTTTTAGAATTATATTTCTTTCCAATTGGATATTAAAAGACGCAAGTGTTGAGTGCAATAATATGTAGACATCTCTATAAAGAAGTGCACATAATGTGTATATAAGTAGTTAAAGCACAAACAGATAAAGAAACAGCACGGCGCCAGACGGCACTCAAAATTCTATAGAACGCAAATTGATCTCGCGAGCAATGGCGCGTGCAACCGGCACCAAGGCGTTCTTTTCCTGCGTTGTTATGTAATATACTTAATTAAAGGACGATTTTGATTAAACAATGTTTTGTATTCTCAATTCTTTTTATGAAGTGGAAAAAAGTTAAGACGAAAAAAGATAAAGAAGATGAAGATGAGAAGAGTCATGATAAGTAGGATTGGAGTTGAGTTGGAGCGAGGGGCTGCTGAACAGTTCTTGAGTACGCAAGTGACCAGTAAGAATGTGCGGCAGGCATTAAATGAGAAGGTGCTGGTAGTTGATGGAGAGGTGCTGGCGGCTGTAAACATTAAAAGAGAGCTTTGAAGATACTGTCGTCAACACTTAAAAATTGTGACAATACCGTATTGTTCACTTCCATATTTTTCCAGGTTTCTGCTGAATTTTCTTTTGATGGTAAAGTTTGATCGTGCTCCGATATAAGACTTTGAAGAGATTGAATGTAGTCGATTGCTATTCTTAAGGTTTTCACTTTTGAAAGTCGTTTATGGCGATTTTCGTATGGGATGTGTCGTCTTAAATAAGTAAAAGCTGAATTTACGTTCTGAACCCTCTTGCGTTCTCTTGCGTTCCTTTTTGCAACAACCTGAACTGGTTTGGCACTATGAGGAACATGCTTGTAAGTTGTGTTGCTTCGTCGCTTCTTCTTTTTTGGAGAATTTTGAATAGTCTGGAAACTTGAAGGAGAGGTTGGTGGTTGTTGATTATCAGCAAACATGCAGGAAGACATTTTGATCGAAAGTGCTCCAAACTTAGGAGCAGGTTTCATTTTCTAGTATCTCCTGAACCCAATACTCGATCGTGATTGGCGAAGGAGTCGCGTGGACCGCCACCGATTGGCTGTTGAGCAGCCAATCAGCAGCCAGAGCGGCAAGTTTATGTAAAATTGTATCTTTTATTGTGCCCTTTGGCTATAGGCCCGAGTTGGCGCCTCAAAATGATTGAATTGATAACAGAGACATTTGTGAGTAAGCAAATAAAGAAAATTGGAAACCAATAAAACTGCAAGTGCATAAAATTTTCTTTAAATGTGTTAAGCTGTACTTTTATGTAAAATTATTTAGTTTTTCTCCCTCTCTCCCCTCTCCCGCTAACGAAATATTTTTTCCATTTATTTTACAGGAGGAAGCATCTCATTCATAATTCTTTCTCATAAATACTCTTTCTCATAATTTACTTGGTAGTTCTTGTCCATTTCTTTTATGAGAGAAAAAATATGAAGTTGTGGCAAAATATTGGATTAATTAGGTTCTTGGATGTACTATTGATAGAAGAATGTTTATAACTCATATTTGTTAGTATTTAGTGTCACATAATTCACATACTCATCGGATTTAGATTTCACGCAGAAGTTGTCAAGTTGTCAGACACACGCATGCATATGTACAGCATAAATAGGGATTTAGGTGGAAAAGGAAAGTATTGACACGAAGTCGAGATAAAGGCAAAAGGAGAAGAAAGCCACTCACGCACCAGTCGCTTTGATTGTTCTCAATATTGCTGTCGCATGATCACAAGATCTTTGTTTAATTATAATAATTAAGACAGTTATACGAACAGGTGTTCATCGTGCTATGCGCCATCCAAATAGAATTTTCTTAAACGTTCGGACGGGGTGCTATAATAGTCCTCTAAAACTGTTTATAGTCGCCCATACGCCACAACGATTACTCGGGCCGCGCCCGAGGGAGCGTTCTTTAAACTTGACCGCCGTAGCGGTCAGCTCTATAACACTTTCGTCGGACGGAATGCAACCAGGCAGATTTTTTACTCTTCCGAAGTCTCCGAAGCGGGATGCTGCATGTCGATCTTATCACGTCGACGCCCCTCACGAAACACTCGGTCAATCGGTCTTCCTATATAAATAAAGGGTGCACCAGTAGCCGAAACGTGCATAAACGCCGTTATATTGGTTGTAGCTAATTAGTAGGAAAAGCCGTCTAATAAAGACAAGAAAGGAGAAAAAGCGGACGCCGTTCACGAGGAAAATATATTCTTTGCTTAGTTCAAGAAACCCTGGGTAGCGCCGACCACGCCCATTTAGGCTCGGCAACAAATTGATGCGACTTGACACTGATGTATTATTTCGTTTATCACCGGCCTCGTAAGGAGTTTGTTCGCTAACACAGTCCTGATAAATATCAACATTCAGGGAAGCATGTGCTTTCGAAATCATTATCGACTAAATTCATACGGTGATTCGAATGAGCGTGTCAGATAGGTCTTTTGTTTGAAAAATACATGGCAAAGGCGGGGATAGAGTATAAAACCATTCTATCAATTTAAAACCAGTTGATGAATGTCAGTGAGATGTGGCTACGCTCAATTGAATTTCCATTTTTCATCATTTAATATAAATTACAATTTAAACATGAACCGAACGGGAAATGAGTTATCCTTTGTGTAATATTCATCTTTATCTAGTACAAAAGGATCTGTATGAATAAACTAGAATGGTTAACTTATCCTATAGCTTCTCTTATATAATGTCAACTTTCATTCTAAAAAACCAGACAATAAATGGAACTCTTATGTCAGAAAGAAAATATGTTTAGATAATACAACGGTAAAGGTTAAATATTTCAATCTTATATTCAGAGAGTTAAAGCCCGCGAGCCGTTCAAACGCTCAAAGGTTTACCGACTTGAAAGTTAAGTGACTTTTGATGCCCAACTATACTCTTCCTTTCTGTTCGCTGCTCTCTTTGCCTAATGGCAAAATACGAGAGAGTTTCTATAAGATTGACTAATCTATGTACCAGCAGAATTACTTTTGATCAATCTATTATTATTATAATTATTATTATTACTATGATTATGATTATGATTATTACTATTATCAACTTCAAAAGTTAATAAAAGTATATAAGGTAATTGTATTGTATTTCCTTTAACAAGATTTGGCTTTTCTCAAAGTGCCTGTGTGTGTGTTTCTTACCGATTTATACAAATTTGTTTTGTTTGATAAGGGCAACTTTTTAACATATTTTTATACGTTGAGGCCAACTTATTGATGGGAAAGATAATAAAAGATAGAGAGAATTGGCACACATAAATAGATTAAAAGATTCGAATTTCGTTAATTATATTTGATTAGTAAGCAAACAAACCCTGATAATACACCATATATTTTTAGTGCATTAAAAGATTTTTTCATTATTGTAAACAGAGGAAATTTTTAGACTTTAGAATTTCTATTGTGATTATATTATTTTTCTTTTTTTTTTACATAAATTCTATTTGCATTCACTTATTGTCAAATTCAATTGTTACTGCCTTTCACCTAGAATATTCAGTGGAATATACTCCACCTATAGGAGTTTATTCTACGTTAATGCCCTCTTTCGGCTAAAAATCTTTCGCTGTAATACTTTTTATGATTGCAAATTGGCAACCGTGATACGTTAAGCAAACACTTTATATCTATAAGTATAAATATGTATATATAATGTATGCGCCTAGCCTAACCCTAGCCTAACCTTATACACTGTATATCTTATATATATATTATTTAAACCATTCATAATTAAGGAAAGTATATATTTATAGTATGTGATATAGTCAAATATGAATTTAGTACTAAGAATATTAAAGTATAAAGAAAATCTGTAAATTTATCATGCTTAGAAACAGCCTGTTGGAATTGAAGACAGCACATTATCCCTTATAGCTATTATAAAACGCCATCTAACGTCCACCTTGTAGCATAACGTAAACATGAAGGCCAACAGGAAAGTGATTGATCAACCCTGTACTTCAAACGTCTAAGAACAGGAAATTATGCCATTTAAACGCTTTCCGCCATTTAGGCATGTAGAGGAAACTCATTAGCAGCGACGATTAATATAGGAAATATAACATGTATTAAAATATAAAACGCATAATATATACGCCGAATTGAAACGCCCATATACTGTATATAAAAAAATTGTTCTTTCCAATTGAAAAAAAGCGAGAAACAGTAACAAATAAATAGAAACAAATCGGTGATGTTTTAGATAACGATATAAGCGAGATAAACACATGTATACAGGAACATTGAAAGTGGGCGGAATTAGTTGCAGGAATGAAAAAAAAAAAATATACTTCGTGCTCTGCATGCGTCTGATCTTTCTTCTTTTTTAAAATAGTTTATAATCGAGAAAAATTGTGCAAAGCTAAATCGTCCCGTGGTTTGGCACCGAATCCGAGTCAGCAAACAATCTAGCAATCGAAGACAAACTAGCATCAGATGAGTGGTGTTCGCCGCTGCTTTCTAAGCTTGGCGGAGGGTGAATGAAAAAGGTGGGAGTCGGACTGCGACCGGTTATAGCCAAGACTTCCGCATCGCACTCGTCGTCAGCGCTTGAATCAAATGTCGGAGAACTTGCACAGGAAAACCGCTGTCGCCCCAACTTAAATGGTGGACTTGCTGTTGGTAATGAAGAAGTCGATATGTCGACTGCTCGTTGTTTTATGAGAATAGGGCGGGGAGAGCGTCTTATAGGAGGGCTGTTGAATGTAAAATTGGTGGGCAATGAATTCTGCTTTCTAACAACTCGCTTTTCAATAATTATAGGGCTGGTTTGTTGGCCTAATTCAGCCTGCTTTTTCAATCGTAATTCTTCCTCCAATTCTCGTTGGATTTCCAATTCCATCTGCGCATCTTCATCGACGATCTTGTGAGATTCCTAAATGAATAAATAAAATAAATTTTAAAAAAAAAAGAAGAGGAGAAAATAATCATTGAGGAAAAATTGGTTTCACGAAGATAAAAAAAGCAGGTTATTGGGCAAAGGCTCCGAGTCAAACAAATCGAAACCTTACCAAACGTAATTTTATTTCAGTCAGCTGCTTCTCCTGTAGAGTCTACTTTGAAATACATATGGAATAAGCTACACAAGAATCGCATTACCTCTAAGTGCTTCATCAGTACTGCTACGACGACGTTAACTAGAACGAATTGCGCCATGAGAACAAAGACGACGAAGAAGACTGGAGCTATAAAAGAAGAGACGCAGCAATTCAGTTCACAAGAGTCGCTGGAATCGCAACCTTCCCTCAACGTATCCTTCATAATTCCGTTCCAATTATCGCCGGTGGCCACGCGGAATAGCGTGAGGAAAGCCATGCCGAAATTATGGAAATGAGCGTGAACTCCTAAACCTTCGCAAGGATTCTCAGCTGAACAAACTAAACGACCAAATAGTTCAACACCAAGTGCAGCAAATATAAAAAATAGCAGGAAAAAAAGTAGGCCTAGATTAGCTACTTGAGGTAGAGCTTGAACGACTGTATCGAGCAAAGCTCGGATGCCTTTAGCCATTTTTAATAATTTAAGAACGCGAGCAATCCTCAATACTCTCATCACCCTAATTATTGTAGGGTTTATGGGAATTACATTCGATTCCATCTCCTCTAGAACTATTCCAGTCACCGATAAAATAACGATACAAAGATCCAACTGGTTCCAGCGATCTTTCATATACCTAGTTAAATCTAGCGCAAGCGCCTTTACGGCTGCTTCTATAATAAAGACGGTTGTAAAAAAATAATTGCAGATTTTTAAGGTTTTAGTTAGTTCATCTGGCATCATATAGAATTCCAGAGCCATAGTTACAACATTTAGCCCAATGACACCGGCTATAGCCAAATCAAAATATTTACTAGTGCAGACATTATGAATTCGTAATCGAATTTTGCCATAGTTGTGCCAGTAGGGCGTTTCTCGTAATTCTGTATAGTTAAAAAAAATAAACATATTTAATACGCCTATATCGTATTATTAAATATTAATAAGATGGTCGATAACAATCAACTTGCTATTTAACAAACAGTGTGTCCCGGATATTGATTTATCGACGGTCCTATCAATATTTATAAGTATTATATCATTATTACTTCTCCTCCTCTTTTCCATACGCTTTGCCCTTTTGGCTGCTCTTCTCGCCCTTTCTTCGAGTTCCTGACTTTCGCGACACTTGTGAAAATTTTCAACTACAACTCCAACAAACATATTGAGAACAAAAAAACCGACCAAGAGGAGAAAAGATATAAAATAGAGTAGACGCCATTCACTGTAATTTCTTACAGGCTGTTGGTCAACACCGACCGCGTCCAGACCGGTGTACATAATATTTACCCAGCCGTCTTTAGAGGCGAGAACAAATAGTGACATTAATGCCTGCCCAAGATTATCGAAATTATACTTTTCGTTCACCCATCTATAGGGTGGTCCCTTATTCAAGCAATCTGTTTTGTTTCTAATTCTTGTAACGTCTGGACCATCGCATTTGTAAAATGCTCCTTTAAATAGTTGGACACCGAGTATACCGAATATGATAAAAAACGTACAGCAGATGAGCACAATATTTCCTATAGGTCTGAGCGAGGATAGCAGGGTCTGTACGACGAGCTTTAAGCCGGGTGCTCGGCTAATTACCCTTAACGGTCTTAAAGTCCGCAGTAGTCTGAACACTCTAAGTATGCCGAAAATCCTTGGACTATTTTTGGCAGTGATGGATATGAGTATGTCGACAAGGGAGATAAAGACTAGAAAACCGTCCATTACATTCCAACCCGACCGTAAATAAGCATGAGGCCCAAGAACGAAACCCTTTGCAACCACCTTTACAATCATTTCGATAGCGAAGATGAAAGTAAAGACGTAATTGGAGTAAGTGAGAAACATTCGTTCCACACTACTTCGTGGTATACTGGGTCGTTCCATAGCTAAGGTAATACAATTCAAGGCGATGAACAAAAGCACGCAATGGTCGAACCATTTCTGTTTGATTAACGCCACACACGCCAACTTGACACGATTATTTGGCGGAATGATGTAGAGAGAATAACGTCTTCTAGAGAGACAGCATCCCGTTGGCGGTGGACACCATTTACATGGACAATCAGGTTGTTCTTCGTCTTCTGCTCCGTCGTTGCTTTTCGACAGGTTGTTAGGCTTGTACAACTCCTCCCTTTGACTTGAGCTGATAGAATTCTGTGAATTAATCGAATTCTGTCGCGACGGACCGGCTCCGGAAGTTGTCGACGCTATGCTGTGTCTGACCGTTCGTTGATTGTTTAAGCCTTGTGTCCTGGTCTGTAGGCCTTGGCCGTTGCAGTCACTGTTGAAAGTAACGCATGAATATTTTAGATATAAGCCATATAAAAAGAGTAAATATAGAATCATGTATGAATTTGGGTCGAGTAAATATATATATGCGATTAAATAGATGGGTCGACGGGTACAAATTCATGCGCGGCTCAGGCCAGTGATCATGCTTCTTTACAATAATTGTTTACGAGAGGTAACAAGACGACTACAGTCTACCTAAGATGTTCCTGACAATGACAGCAATGCTGATGTGGCCTTTGTTGCTGTTGGCTAGTGTAAATGAAAGAGTATCTGAACGGATCGCTGTTATTTCTAGTTACATCCACTATATAACAAAATTGGGAAGCCGACGCCGGCGTCGAGCTGCTGTACGAGATACGGTATTAAAAAATTAATCGCCTCCAGATGGCGATACTCACCTGTAATTGATATTTGATATATTGGAAACATTCGACGATCGCCGGGATGAATGATCGTCTTCCGATTCACTGTCGATGCTGTCGGAAGCGGACGGTTTTAGTATACTTTTAAAGGTTTTTCGAGGCGATTCCATAGCCCATTGGTCGAAAGCAGCTGCTACCGTTAGCGTGTTCTTATTCGGAGAAGATCCGGATTCGTGTGGTGAATCAAGGGGTGTTGCAACCGGAGTGGCTGCAGTATGGGTAATAATTGGAGGAGAATTGAAAAGAATAGTCGGCGGAGCCGGTGCCGGAGAATTTTGCCCATCGCTACCCATTTTTTTCTCTTTATCCTTATTATTCTTATCAATCATCACTATTACGCTTTGCTTTCTAACAGCGGCCGCCGCCGCCGCCGCCGCCGCTGCTGCTGCTGCTTCCTTGTTAGTATTTTTTGCGCCTTCCAAAGATTTTAACTGTTCTTCTTCTTTTTGCTTCTCCTTTGCTTTTTCCCGTTCCTCGCCTTCAGAGGAGAAGCCTTCAACTAAGATAGCAACCAGTAGATTGAATAATACATAGTTGCCGAACGTCATAAGAGCAATGAAATAAAGAGCAGCCCATGGGGACGTTTTCGACATGCCTTGGTATAAAACTTCATTCCAATCCTCCTGAGTCAAAATCTGTTTGGGGCAATCGAGCGAGAAATTTACTCCTAAATGCCTGGACATCGATTAGAATATTCACTTGTGTAAAGGGTAGAATTTAGCAGGACCGATGCAAATCGTTAAGTAATATTGATTACATATACATAAATAGAATACAATTTTGAACGATTTAAAAGTAGGAAAAAAATTCCGTATTAACCCAATTACATCGGTCTCGCAAAATAAAACTATAATCAGAAAACATTGGGGAGGCAGGGAGAAAACAACACAAAAGGTGCAATAATACGTGTATCTACCTGAAAAACAGTGACTAGTGCCCACAATAATGAATCAAAGTTTTTTCTCTGTGTCAGACAGCGTACTTCGGAGTAGGAATTGAGATCTTGGCATGAACAAGGCTTGCCATGACGAGATCCTCCTTGGACCATCGCCAATTTGCCACCGAACAAGTGCATTCCTAACACGCTGTTAATAATATATAGTGCTATTTGTGCAATAAAGGAAAAAGAGGGAAAAGTTTTTTTTCTTATCTTTTATGTAAAACAATTCCTACTTTTTAAAAGAATCTACTTAAAATATATCTACGAAGTGGAGAGTAAATATATATATATATATATATATATATTATATATATCTACATATATATATATATATATATATATATATATGTATGTATATATACTAAAATAGAATATGAATATAATATATAATCATGCACGAAAAAGATAAAAGTGCGAGTTATATTTAATACATTTATATATATTTAAAAATATGCAACTATGATTAAAATTGCAAGGGCTAGATTTTTTTTTCATTTTCAGTATTATTCGGTCATTTGACTTTGAATTAGAGCGAAAGTTAATGACACTTCAGACTTACAGATGTGTTTTGGAAAGGAATTTAATAAAAAAAAACTGATAATAATAGCAAAAAATAGCCAGAGAAAGGGAAATAAATTTAAAGTTAAGGACAAATGTACAGAAGAGAGTTATTAGACACCTGTTAAGAAAGTATTAATTCAGAGTATAAAATGTCAAATACAGTTCTATTGATCTCCTGGTAATGAAATATATGTACTTTAGAACGAAGTAAGAAATATTCCCTCCAAGTAATTTATTATCATTCTCTTTTCTAGTGTTTTGCAGGTTTTTGCAGTAGATCTTTTTTTATACCCTCCTACACGCATACCTCTTGTAAATATTAATAAAACGAGCACAAGGAAGTCTGCATCGAAAATAAAGTAATATTTAAATTTACTATTGATTTCCTAAAGCGAGTAATTAAGTCGTTTTAATTTTAAGATGCTAAGCCTGCATTCGAAAGCTTCACCTATTAATCATCCTCTTTATAATTTATTAGTAATGCGTTGAAGTTCTCTTTAAGTTTCACTTGCTTATTACTTGGCCGTATGTGATTTCAGTAATATTATTTCTAATATAGGGTGTATTAATGCCAAATTCGCAAAGAATGCTCTTTACAAGAAATGGAAATGGAAGGCGCTGTCTAAAATCCTACAATACTCTACTAAAGTATTCACATTTAGACTTTTGTGTAAAGTCTTCCGCATATATATTTTAGTGAAAATAGATCAATAGTATATTCTTTAGGAGAGTACATTTTACATTCCATACTCAAATGAATGTAATATCTTTTTGCTTACAATATTAATAAGATACTTTTCTGTTAATTATCTTTTAGATGTTTACTTTGTGCCGGTGTAAATCCTAAAATGTGATCAACTTTCATTAATTAGATTCTAACGTCAAATGATCAATAATTTTGAAGAGAAACAAAAAAAAATCAGCGCTACAATTTCAAACCGAAAACCGACTAATTTACGATTGTTTTAAAGTTGGTATTATATGTTTCATTAAGAGTATATAGTGATAACTAATCTATGTACAATGTATAAAAAAATTACATTGTGTAATGTGAAGAAATGTAAAATTTAAATGAAATAAAAAATGAATTGGGCTCGTGCTATATACACAACAGGGCGGCCGTCTACCTGGAAAACTGTTACTATGGCCCATAAAAGGGAATCGAAATTTTTACGACCGCACTTTCTACGGCCTTCTGCTACAGTCTCGCAGAACTTACAACCGAACAAGTTCATACCCAGAATGCTGGATGTAAAAAAAAGTGCGCATCATATATACGTCATCGCATTTGAAGGCGTTTTTTTTATAAATAGATAATTAATGTTACGAATAGCACATGCTATACAGTATATACAAAAAATATCAATATATACATATATTTATATATGTATAGTTTTCTTTTGTAATGTAAAGAAATGTTTGTACTTGTATAAACTGTACAGATGCCAAAGTATTAATGATATTAAATGAATTAACAACTTACCTGAATATGAAAATAAATAGAACTAGAAGCATGAAGAAAGTTGCTACGTTATCCATTGTTCGCAACATCACAACCAACTGATACCTCAAGGCTGGTAGAAATCGTACGAGTTTGAGTATACGCAACAAGCGGAACGTTCTTAAAACAGATAATCCTCCAGCGCCGCCCTGCATTAATTCAACTATACTGAGCACCACTATAAAACCGTCGAAGACATTGAAGCCGTTTCTGATGTAACCAAAAGGACCATCGGCAATAATCTTTAACAGCATTTCAATAGCGAAGACGATGCAGAAGAAAATATTGCTGTATTCCAGCACGAGAGTCAGTGTTTCAGGCTGTATGGAATGAATACAAATTCTCACAGCAGGATTCTCTACAAAAATGCAATGATTTTTTTGTGTGCTCTCTTAAAATTTCTCTAATTTCAAACTTTTATGTATATACAATCAGAGGCTAACACTCTGTAAATTGATCACGATGCATTGAGAGAAAGGCCTATTTAAGCGTTCGCCTAATGGAGTACACAGAGAAAAAGAACAATTAACACCGACCGGTCGTTGCCAGTCAATCGAGCAGCAATATTCCAGAAAAAAAACACTCGCTGTAATATTATGAGAGAAGCATCTAGATGTGATTCGACCTCACTCACCTGTTGCTAAGCAACATATAGATTGACAACTCGCTTGTTAAATGGCTATAAAATAAAAGAAAACCGTTCCTAACTGCCTCGTTCGACCACCATGCATAATTTACTAACTTTCTTATTAACCTTTCACCATATTGATATGTAAACACACGAAGTTACCTGATTGTGATATTCGATTCCCATGCTAAGCGTATTGATTAAAATCGCTCCTAAGATACCGCGTGTGAAGTAATTGCTGTCGACCGTCTGCTTGACGGCGAAACGCAGCAACTGCCAGACTCCGTGACGATTAGACGCTGTAAAGAAAAAAAGATAAAAAAGTCAGAAAAGAAGTCAAAAAAAAAAGAGAATATAAAAGAGTAAACAGCAGGGGATAAGGAGAAAAGCTGAGGAGAAGGAAAGAATCAGAGCAAGAGAGAGAGAGAGAGAGAGAAAGAGAGAGCGACAGAGACACAGAAAAAGAGACAGAGAGAGACAGAGAGAAAAAATAAGTGAGTGGGTGAGTGGGAGAATAAGCGAGAGAGAGAGAAGAAAAAAGGTAGAAAAAAAAACACAGTGAGAGAGAATGGAGAGCGTGTTTTCGCCAAGACGCTCGTTGATTAGCATTATATTTGTACTTGTTATAAACTTACCGTCGTTCTTCGATCGTCCTTCACTCGTTGTATCTTTGTCGTCGTCATCACTGGACGTTTCATCGGAAGTTTCTTTATCGTTGTCGTTTAGTAACACTACCGGATGTCTTGGAGATGCTTCAACGTCAGAGGGTTCCGGGGTGTTGTCAGTCCCTCGTTGACGGCGTCGCCGGCTTCGTAAGGTAATTGCCTTACGCTCTATCATTTCCGTATTATTCATATCGTTCTGACGATAAATGCGACGGGCGTATCGCAAAGTTCTTCGCTTAACTCTTCTAAATATATGGGCAATATATTTAAGAATTTCTCCATAACAACCTCCTGGTTCCGATAGACTTGCAAGTGTGGAACTGGAATGAAAACGTTTCCTCTCAGCCAACATCCGTTCCGTTTCGCGCTTCTTCGTTTCCGAAAACTGCGTAGCTATCACAACCAAACAGAGGTTGATCATGAAAAAAGATCCAATCTGTTTTGGAAAGCAATAAATGAAGATTACACTTTGCAGAATTCTATCTTATAAATAGTACAGGCGCATGCCAGTCATTTCATATAAATATACATCTGTTTGTGAACTAATATAAAAGACCTGAAAGGAAATGGTGTGAAATGAAAATTACAACCATCTTCAATTATTGTATATATAATTTATATATATATACACACATTTAAAATTTGTTTATGAGATATATAGATATAACAGAGGTAAAAATGTTAATTCTATATAAATAGACTTTTCACTATCAATTAACATTTACAAAAGTAATAATAGTAAAATGATAATAATATTATAAGAACAATAGTTAAAAAATAATATAAGAAATAATAAAGAAATGAAAAAAAAAAGAATTAATGCACTGCGGAAAAAATACAGGAACAGGCAAAGGCGCGCTTGTCATTCTTGTTTTGCTTCACCTTGGCGCCTAAATAGAAAATGTTTGAGTATAGTAATAATAAGTTTTGGAAGACAACAGCTGTGCAGGAGGATTTTCTCGATAAAACGATGACTTCTGTCTTGCATTCTCCGCAACCCTACTCACCACTATAAGTGCAACAAAATATATCCAATCCCAAAACGAGTGCGCATCTTGTACAAAGTACATTATATCTACCCAGCCTTCTAGACTAATCACCTGTGTGTAGGTGTAAGCAAATTTTAGTGCGGTTTCATCAAACTTACCACAATTAGAGCTACAAAATACATCCAATCCCAAAACGAATGCGCATCTTGCACATAGTACATAATTTCCACCCACCCCGCTAGGCTTATTACCTGCATAAGAGGTTAACTGAGCTGAAAGGTGTGTCAGGAAAGAGATAATTGTTTTTATTTACGCGAACTTACCTGAAATATGGCTACCCAAGCTAGACCAATATTGTCGAAGGAGATTGAGCCGTGAAACGGGTTATCAAAACCCGGCCTGCAGTCTGAGTAATACTGATTCCAGTTGACACACGAACCGTTCGCGGAGGAGTTGAAGGAAATGATGCTCTCGTTACAGACTCTGCGTCGACCACCAACCGTTGCAATTGTTGGGGGAACAGCGTCACACTTCATCATACCATCAGTAGTGAAACGTGAACAAATAAAGTCTTTATCGTTCGGTGCCCGATAAAATTCTACTGGATTTACTTTCGGTACAAGTTCATGCATCGTTTTTAATACCGATACGTTAACAGGTAAGTTTAAGAAACATCTATTTCGTAACAGTCCAGCCCACAGTTGAACGCCGATTATGCCAAATATAAAGAAAACGAAAAAGCAGAGCAGTAAAACATTACCAAGCATCGGCAAAGTATCGAGTAGGAGCATTACGAGAATTCGCATACTTGGAACCCGGTTAATCGCCCTTAGTGGCCTCAAAACTCGTATAGTTCTAATAGCCGATATACTTAGATTTTCCGAATCAACCGCATATTCAACAGCACCAGCCAAAACGATAAACATGTCCAGTCTATTCCAAGTATCTGCCAAATACGTTTCCTTACCAAACAGCCCCATTGCGCATACTTTAATGCACATTTCAATGGCGAAAAAGGCGAAAATGAAATGGTCGAAGGCTGCCAAGACATGACAGCGAGTTGTCTTACAAATTTCATCTTCGCATGGCCGAAACATTCCCAGTGTAACGCAATTCAGGAGTATCACGCTCATACTGAGCCTTTCGAACCATGTAAGTAAGAGTTAAGGAATGATAATTAACTGAGATATATCACTCTACAACATAAGGAACTCGGTATGCTCAGAAACACTTTACACACTTTATGAATGGACTATAATACAATGAATAAATAATTGTGCGTATAATGTATAATGTTTGTTCTTAGAGTGTATACAAGTATAGACCCATAATACGCTTATTCATGCATATACAAATATCACGTATGAATATACAGTGTTATTGTATACGCTTGTATAGATATATATGTACATAAGGACACACGTACGGGAGTAATGTTTATATTCATATATATGCAGTAGCGTTTATAGCTATACATATATCGCATCCACAGGTATACATCTAAATATAAATGTATAACATATGTTTGCAGGTAGTTTGTTCACTTATGTTTCAGCTTATATATATATATATATATATGTATAAAATATAAATGTATATATGCAACCATGCAAAATTGTTCTATATATATATATATATAAGATATGTACAGTATATATATATATCATATGTATCATATTTTATCAAATAAAAACTTTGCGGTTTACACGTATAAATATACGCACAAATACATAAATAGAACACCAGGAAATAAATACACGACACCTCTTTAATCTACTTGTCTCTGCTGCTATAGCAACCGAGGCGCATATGTGCGTGTGAGTGCGATTGAGGATGTGTCTATATATTTGTATGTGTGTGTGTGTGTGTGTGTGTATGGGTGAATGTGCATGTTTTGTATTCGGATGTGTGTATACGTATATGATATGCGCCTGTTTGGAGTTTGGCGAACAGCAATTTCCTGTCGGTAGTGCGTTTTTTATATATGACTCTTTCGTTTTTTCTCGTTTGCTCTCTTTCAGTTTCTCACTTTCCCGTAAATATACGAGTAATAACGGTGATATATAACGCGACGCGGCGTCGGGCGCCTTTGCAGTTTGGACAAGTTTTGCCTGAGGCTTGGCAGAGCAACGTCATACTAGAAGCAAATGTCAACGGAAGACGACTGCAACGAGTGTGCGACGCGCTGATAATGAATGAAGACGATGTATACTATACGCTGAAGTCGACAGCAAAAAAAATTAGTCCTATAGCTGTGCAGGCGGCCTCTGCTAATAAATTATCCAGACGATTTTAAAACGGTATACGCAAGAGGGGAAAAATCGCCGTCTTGTTTACTATAACTGTTGGCGAGTAAACGCAAATATTTACTGGCCGATGTATGTATACGAAAGAACGGCGTTTTTCGCAACCGATCGAGAAATTAGAACAAAAAAAAGACGTGCATTGTACGATTGATTGTTAAGTTGCGAGCAGGCAGTCATGGAGACAATCGATGCTAGTACATGCATTCACATAATCGATCCGGTCCGGACAAACTTTTATCACTATCACTTAAAAAAATTTTGAAAAAAGGATATGGCCAAGTAATGGCTTTCAGGCACCACTTTCTTGGTAGAGTATTCTGCTTTAAGCAGAAAAAAACGATTGGTAAGAATCCTGGAAAGTCCAATTCCTCCTCATTATCCTCATTGGACGAAGTTCTAGATGACCGTATAACTGCACTCGTCTCCTCGTTTTCGGCTGTCGATTTAGGAGGTGGAGCCGAATGAACTAACCTAGCTCCACCCTCGGCCATTATCCATAATCGTCAGGGTAATCCATACACTTATATGTATATTTACGAGTACGACTCGCAATAGCGGAGCGTCAGGCTACAAGTACAGGTGGCATAACTGTTGGCGAGCAGCCACGTGATCGTCTGGCGCTACCTGCCGTTCGATAGGTGTCGTTGATGGCGTTTGATCAATGCAGGCGCGGCTCGATGTTGTAAGGCGTCGAATATTGAAAAACTAGTCAACGCCATAGGCAAATGAAACGAAATAAGCGAAGCTAATAGGGCAGGAACAGCGCCGGGCATCTCCCTTTATAGTCAAAAAATGCGAACTTGATAGTAAAATTTTCGGTAGCAGTCGTTTTATGCCAAACAAGCACGTGCTTCACGTGTCTCTTCTCAGATTAGCGTTACTTTAGCCTTAAATGACTGTCACTTTTTATCTTTTTCCATCAAAATCCCATTTATCAAAATGACATAAGGTAGTTTGATAGTTATATATATATATATATATATATATATATACTTAATAACATACATAAAAATCTCATTATATGCATATATAGTATATATACGTGTAAATATAGATTAAAACGAAAAATTATACATTTAAGCCTATTTATAAACATTTAAAAGAGTATTAACATTTTTTTAGTAATTTTTTTTTTAATATAATGCAAATATAATCCCTCAACAGACATATATCTCTTTAAATGTACATAGTTATTTCTAGATATATACAGTATATATTAATATATATCTATATTACTGTATATTTATTTACACACATATATACATATAGATACGCCAATATTTATGTACATTTGAAAGTAGGCATACATTGATATTTTCGGTGCGTTGCGCTTAAAAAATATAGATTCTTTGCATATCTGTATCTTCACATATCTATATATATATATATATATATATATTCACACCTTTGAATTAACTGCGATAAGTGCTGTAGACAAAAATTCTTTAAAGTACATTTTTTACCAGATTTCTTTTTATAAACAGCGTATTCATTAACGATTTTACGCATATTTACATAAAAATATATTTCTTAACCATAAACAAGGATAAAGAATATTATAATAACAATAGTTTAGTGATAGAGCTAGTCTACCGTTTGCGTTTGTATTCGCATATGATCTGCTGCACTCGGTTCGTCTAATTAATTACATAAAGCGATGGTTATATATATTTAAAGGAGAGCGTATAAAAAGACACTAACGTAAATTAGTGTATATCTATAAGCCTACAATAAGGTCGATGCCAGCATGCATGTTTAAAGCGGAATGACAGCCGAAATCATACATTTTTTATACGAACTAACGCCGAAAAGCCGTCGTCTAATTGAGAGCATCAAAGTAAGCATATTGCTTTTTCTACAACGTCGAGGGGATTGATTTAGCCGCAAAATTTTTTACGCGGACTTCAACTACTGCAAAAGTTCCCAGTTCAAAGAAAAAACCTCGTAGATGTTCTCACGCATTCGACGAATTTTACAATCTTTTTCCTAGATCGTTCTCTCTTTTTCTCTATCTATCTGGTTATAAATCTATTTATCTGTCCCTCCCTCTAAATATCTATCTCGACTTGCCCTTTATATTTCAGATTTCAATTTTATGGATTCCTATGATTGTATTCGAAAGTTTCTTTTATACAGATTCTATTTGAGAATACAAAAAATTTTTTTTTGTTCCATATTTCATTAAAATCAGCGACAGAATGTTGCGTGTATACGCGTCTAATCCAATTGCACAAAAATATTGTTTTCTCAGCTGCAACTTGAAAGGATATGTCTATCGATTCTTACTATTTCAATGTAGAAACGTCTTTAGGCCAAATTAAAAAAATGTTTTTCATTAATTATCTCGAGATGTATTGGCTTGCTTTCTTTTTCAATAATGAACATGACTATAATTAGACTTAATTGTCAGCACTGTTTGCATTTCAGAACAAGATTTAATTTAACTAATTTATGGGAATGAACTCCAGCGCCATGCGCCTATCGACTCGTACGTAGGGTAAATATTTCTAAATTGCCTAATGGATATAAAAAACAGCCTAAAATAATCGTTTTTTTATATATAGTACTGTAGACGGCGATACAGGACTCGTAAAAAACCGAGAGATGTTTTCTATAAAAGATAAAAGTGCGATTAAGCAATTATTCACCAGGTGGCACTATCGGTTAGGTTTTTTACTCTTCCTTAAATTATCTCTAGCGTTACAGCAAAGTATATTTGAGCCGGGTAGCTAAATAGGTTAAACCCGTAGAATTACTATTCCTTTTTATACATTAAACGATTCTCAAAAGAATTAGTAGTTAAGAAAACTTAAAAAAAATCCCATATTTGATAGAATAGTAATACGTAAAGTATAATTATCATACGATCTTTTAATGTTTAAAATGATAAATCCGAGTTTTAAATCTCATTCCTTAAGTAAAATCTATTATAAACTAATGGTTGAAGGCGCTAAATGAGTCTCTGTATAATTTTATAATCATATCTTACATTATGCGAATGATATAGAAATATATCTGATTTAATATTTACAGGGTCAATAGTAATTTTTTTCGTCTTTTTTTTTATTTATTGATTTTTTAAGATCTATAAAAAGTATCTTTATTCATTAATTTTTTCATTATCTATTAAAAGATGGTTCTCATAGTAATTTTCCTAATTAAATATGTCCTTTCATAAGACGAAACTACATAAAAAGAAACATTGAAATATCATACACAAAGTAAGGTATGAAAAATGACTTCAAAAGTTGATTGTTATTTTTTTAGTAGAGGTCATCTTAGTTATTACCAGGAAAATGGACGCCCGAGGACTTTATATGACCTTTTTTTGAACAGCTTGCAAATTAATGAAGCGATAGAGAAAAGTCTTCGGTTAATACACTTTGAGAATTAATTTTTAATTACGTCTTAAGTTTTACTTATTCATAGTATTTCCAAAGCTTAACGTATTATTCGGATATAAAGAAAATAAATGATGCACATATTTTTATAATCTGAAAATTTATTGCGAAACTATAGATTTTATAAATAATGGTAATGTTACTATAATCTAAATCCGATGTAGGTTTACCCATGACTAAGCAAAGTTGAAATGAGACGACAAAACTGGAAGGCAATTTAAATTTATATAATTCGTATATATTAGAAAACAAAGGGAAAGCTTGGGTTGATCGTTTCAACGTTTGCGATTTTAAGAAATCACAGAATTGCCACTTGTAAGGAGGTTTGTGCGGTTTTTTTTCTCTCTCTCTCTCTCTCTTTTTATATATCATTTGCCTCTATCGAACGCGAAACGTCTATTATAGTTATAAAATATTTTATTTATATAACTTTGACATTGATTTAATTTATAACAGTGGTGTTTGGTCAGTATTATCCTTCTACTGTTGGTAGTTAAGAAAAACCTTGCGTATTAAACTAACTCGCTGACTTTATATACATGTATATGAAATGGAGGCAGGGAAGCGAAGGATTTTTGCAAACGTAACGGAAGCTTGTTGGAACCCATAATGATGTATTCGTGCGAAGAAGCAAGCAATATGACAAGTAAGACTCAAAGCGAATACATGTAAGAAAAATAAGTAAAATTATTGCCATTATCTAGTCGATGCTATCGTATACAAATGGCAAGACATGGTGCTTCTTATTCTACCAAGGCCCCAGCTTACTAATTCAAAGTAAAGAGCAGTAATGCGGTTTATCCGAATTAATTTCTTCCTGCTCTGCAATAGTGTCGCCA